AAAGATATCGGATTGAATGGAAAGGAGTCATAAGATATTAATACTTCTTTCTTGTTTAATTATTATTTACAAGTGTTTAATTGTGTTTCTTTGTTAATTGGAACTTGCCCAAATTTGTAAACAAGCAATGATACTCTAATTGGGATTGAGGGAATTGTTTCAATATTATAATTGAACCCAAAAACCTTTGATATCTGGAAGGATTCCATAATTTATTGGAAGAAAGATACTTCAATTAGGTTTGCTTACTTAAAATTAATTCTAAAGAAAAAGTTGTGCATGGTAAGTTTTAGGTCAAGGAACACCACGACATCAGTCTAGACTCTTCGAGAATAAAACAACAAACTCTATTCAATTGGAGACATTATACAATGTATATACGTACTTGTTGTCATTGATGGTAGATCCTTGATGTTCACCATTAACTGGTTGAATCAATACATATATATGTCTTGTTATTTTTTTTTTAGGTGGCTGGTGATTTCTCTCTTTTTGGCCATTTTGGTTGCATCAGGTACTTAGGCAAAAAAAAAAAAAAACTGCGAAAAAAATTGAGGGTGTATTTGTGTGCGAGGTTCCACTACCCCCTAATTTATTATGTGCAACTTAAAAAAAAAAAGATATATATGGCATTTATTTTCTTAGCCTCTTAATAGAAAACAATGGAAGAAATCAATAACAAATATTTAAATTAGGGGCCTGGTTTATAACAGAATGTGTCCAGACATTTTGTGACGTTTCAACAAAAAAAAAAAAGAAAAAGACAAAGAATAAAATTTTAAAATTCTCTTATTCATTGCATAAATTACTTTCCGGTTCCGGATAATCTGTAATAAACTACATTAATGCAATCTCCGCCCAAAGTTCTAGATTTAATTTAACACAAAATAGGATATAAAAGAACAAGGGAGGAAGGAGTAATAATGGATATAAACTGTAAAAAAAAAGGAAAAATCATTCATTTTATTACGCAATTTGGGTTACTTTTCATGGATAACTTGCAATTAATAACCATCAGTATTGCATAACCAAGTGGTTCATTTCTTTTTATTTTGAAATCAAAAAGTATTTCTGCAGGTATATACCTTTTTTTTTACAGTTTAATAAGAATTGTTAGTAGAAAAGGCGGTTAAATTGATATTAATTACTTTTTGAAAAAAATCATATCATTTTTTTGTTTATTTAGGATTCGGTTACTCCTTTGTCTGATAATACAAAACAATACCTTGCGCAACTATCCTAATCATTTTGGTATCACAAACTTATATCTTATTTTTTATTCTTAGTAAATCAAATTTGCTTCAAGCTATACTCTTAGATTTTGTAATATATTGACAACCATCTTTCTATTTCAGATCAAATCTCTTGTTGTCAACTGAACTCTTCATCATGTTGTCACTTGAAGTACTCACTCAAAAACAGAGAGAGAGAAAAAAGTAAGACATCTCTTGCAACATAACAGCCATGGGTGCAAAAAAAAAAATTATCCTCAGTTTGATCATGAAAAACTATTAGAAACCATTAGGTTTTTTTTTTCCTTTTTTGTGTAAACTATGACATATTACCAACTGGTTCATTCATCCCTTGTTATCTAAAAGGAGGTAAAGGGGGAGTGTATTGAAGGAAAAAAGAAAGTGGAGGATACAAGGGGGGGGAAGGAGTACGGAGAATAAAAAAGAGCAAGTCTTGATTTTATTTCATGTACAAAGTACCAAATGAATAATGCATAGAAATGCCATTAATTTTATTATGAATGATTCTCGATGATAATTACACCAACTTCGATACGTTTATTGGTGGTTCGAACTTTGTGATATATTACTTCTTGAATGTTATTTGAGAGAAGTAGAGAAAGAAGGTGAATCTAACCCATGGGGTGTCAACAATGATCCAACAAGAGAAGGTATTACTTGATATATGATTAGAAGTAAAAAGAAATGATTACAATATTAACTTCACAGTCTAGACAATAATGTACAAATACTAATTATATAATTAAATTGATAGCTAATACAGTATGTGCGTAAACAGAGTTTATATTTGTTTTTCCTTGTTGTTGATGAAGTAAGTGTGTTATTTGCTTCTTTTTGTGTACGTGCTTTCGCTAATTTGATCACTCCTCCAAATTAATAGAACAAAATAAAAAAACCCAGCCCACAAAAGATATTACCTCTTGAAGTGGGGCTTTTGTTGAGGTAAATTCAATTTCCTTTAATTTTGAATCTCTCTAAAAAAATTCAATATCTAATGGTCCAACATAAGATTGTGATTACTTGTGGTAGAAAGAACCTAGCGTGGTCATAATTGACTAGAAGAGAAGAATCAAGAGATAGAGTATGTTTTCACGGTTTGATAATTGTATATATTAAATAATTATTGGTAATAAGTATATATTATCACTGGTTGACTGGTCTATTCATTCGGAGCCAATACATTCTTCTTCTCAAATATAATAGGACCTACCTTTATTCAAAAACCAGTCTTGAATAATCTAAAAGATAAAACCAATAATGACTTACTCCTAAAATGAAGCCATGCCAGATGGTTGAATAGTTCATAATTTGCTATTCTCCAAGATATTGTTCTAAACTTGTAATGGATGGATAAGTGATATGTATATCAGGTTCTGTTGATCTTGTTCATTCCAAACAGTGTGAAAAGGCTATTCTGACTTGCAATTAAGGGTCTTTTATTCTTTTTCAAATTCACTTCGTTAAATCATATACCACCAAATTGTTAACACTATTCAAGTTTCTCCTCCAGGGATAACTTCAATACCACTAATTCTAGAATGTCAAGTGTCTTTTATTGATTAAAATGTAATGTTTGTGATCTAAAACAAAGGAACAGTAAAAGGTACCTTGGTTCAATGTCAGTCGCATTTCCACTTCAACAGTTAAATCCACCACAAGGTGACAATAACTCATACCCCTAACAATTGAAGAGTTTGTGTCCATCTCTTCTATAATTTATATATTCCAAATAGTATGGTAATCCCCAATTGAAATTTTACCTAGTAATATTCTGTTGTTTTTTAAAGGATTCTAATTGACTCTTGGTTTATTGGTTGCTTTTGAATCTGAGGGAATGTAGGGGGGACAAAAGTTAGAAATGTTGCTGGAAATCAAATAAAAACTAGTTATGCTTCGGAAGTACCAATATTTGTATTATACTTGATTGCAACTGTCACTATTGGATTCAATTTTCCGGGTTCTTGTACAGTCTGAGCTTTTCTATTGAGATAGGGAGACCTAGATCTTGATTGCTCTCCCTCAGATGATTGTTTTGTTCTGGATTGGCTGGTATCTCTAACTGCTTTATAATACTTGACTAGGTTATAAGCTCTGTTACTCTGCCTTTTGGTTATAAACTGGAATGAACTTAAATCTCCTAGTTGCTATTGCTGTTGTTGTTGTTGTTGTCCTTTGAAGTATAGGTATGAGAATCCCAATTAAGTAAACGTGCTGTTTCTTTTATTGATCAAAGTCTTAATATTACCTTCAACGGAAATATGAATAACAATCGATAATAGAACTCAATAGCAATTCAATGTTGGATAAAAAGAAAAGGATTTCAGGTTGGTAGCTTGATATTATATTGATTAATATGGTTGAACAACAAAAAAAAAAGAAAAACTTTTCCTCACAAACGTTATAAATTCTCTTTAACAAGGATTCCTCCAAAATAAATAAACCCCAAAAAAAAATCCAAGTAATGTTCATCCAAAAAACTACAACCTAGAAAGAGATGTCCTTTTATACCTTATTCTCTGTAGTATGTATCTATATATTCCACGGAAAGAGGGTTAATTAGAATTTTTTCTCTCTTAAATTGGTCTTGCTCATAGATTCTTCTAGTTTGTTCTTTTGTTTTCTACACAAGAAATGGCTATTTTACTAATCTCTGAAAATGACCTCGGATACTACAATGTCAGAACTAAACGCTGCTCAGTTTCTAGAATTACTGCTACCATAATGTGTGGCGAATTTCTATTGCAGCAAATACCTCATTCAAGAATCCATCCTCATTATCAATCAATTGAATGAGACTGAGGCGGTTATTGGTCCTTAGTTGAGGGAAAAATAATTCTTCTCTTGCTGACAAGTACACAGTACGAATGAATAGGTCCCTGTTTAGTGCGCGGCATTTATTTATTTTTTTTGTTTCCAGTTAAATCTCTCAGCTTTAACTACGAATTAGTAAATAAGAAAGTTCTTCTTCTTTCAGAGTAGATTTCTTAAAAGATCTCATCAAAATCGGATTTTTGCCATTGATTTCATCAAAATGAAAATCCTAAGCGGGTTTGTTCTCTTTTGGGAAACCCGTTAAATTCTAAACTGAACTGTATTTATTTTTTTTTGCCACCTATCGACCATTCGTGTACTCATGACGAATTGCAAAAGAATCCGAGATATTTTATTTTGTTAACCAATTTTTTTAGCAACAGCAAACGGCTGTACTATAATTAATAAGACAGAATATAAATGAAACAATTTGTTTCGGATTTATAAACCTTGCTCTATTTATTTACATACTTGCATGGCTCGTGTTTCTTTGAAATACGGCAAGGATTATTCTATTTTATTTTCTTGAAGTTGGCAATATTTTTTTTTCTCGGATTAGACATTGGGTTTTCCGCACCCCACTCAGGTACACATAAGAAAAAAAAGTAGTGCAAGTATACTAAAATATAGATTCCTTTGACGTGCGGAAAAATTGAATTATGATGTCATTATATGTGAGTTGAAATATTTTTAATGTGTAATTTCCCCGGAAGCAGTAGTTGCTTGCTATTAATAGAGTTATATTCCCCACAAATTTTTTGATTGATTAGTGCCGTATGGGGGAACACTATTATGTTCAGCAATTTTTGCTCACTTCAATGGACATTGAAGTGTTTTGTCAAAATGTATAAATAGATGTCGAAATTTCCTTTTCTTCAACCCCCCCGTCAATTTAGAACCTATTTCTTATAGTTCAATATTAAATAATCACAAATAATGACTTCTGAAAAAGAAACATCTTCTATTAAATCAAGTGAATCATCACAGAATGAATCTAATGGAAAATCCCTGCAGATCCATAAATTCTTGGGATTTCATGGGAGAAAATTAAACATTGCCGTTGCTTGTTTTAGTGGTGTTGGATTTCTCCTTTTTGGATTTGATCAACTGTTAATGGGAAGTTTATTAACTTTACCTAATTTTGAAAAAACTTTCCCTTCTATTCTGGGAAATACTTTACATGCAGCTACATTAACTGGTGCTGTTGTTTCCATTTATGAAATTGGTTGTTTTATTGGTGCTTTGTTGACGGTTTATTTTGGTGACAAGCTTGGAAGAATTAAATGTATGTTTATTGGTTGTATTATTGTTATTATTGGTGCTGTGCTTCAAACTACAGCTTATACAGTAACTCATTTGGCAATCGCAAGGGTGTTCACAGGGGTATGTACAAATCATGATGATTGTTTACAAGAAAACAAGTGTTACTAACTTATTTTTTAATCATATCTAGGTTGGAACTGGATTTATGACCTCTACTGTTCCTGTTTGGCAAGCTGAATTTATCAAAAGCTTCCTACAAGAGTTAAAAATATTATGATGATGGTATGTATCACCCCCCCCCCCCATCCCCTCTCCTCGATCGGATTTATTTCTACTAGCGCGACAGGATTTACTAACACAAATATAGGGAAGTTTAATAACGTATGTGTGCACTCAAAATATCAAATACACCAAAGTCTATAAATTACTAACATTTCATTATCTAGTGCTGGTATAGCTATTGCTTATTGGGTTGATTTTGGTTTTTATTTTCTTGGTGATAATGATACAAAGGGGATTTCCTGGAGAATTCCTATAATTTTACAAACCATTTTTCCAATTCTTCTTCTTAGTGTAATTTTTAAGATGCCAGAATCACCACGTTGGTTAATGTCAAAAGGTAGAACTAATGAAGCAAGAATTGTATTTTCTGCAATTTATAATCTTCCAGAAAATGATCCTAAAGTAACTGATCAAATGGTGGAAATTCTGAATGCAATTGAATTGGAAGCTAAAGCTAATGTTGGATTTAGTATTGGTGAATTAGTTAAACAAGGACCAACTAGAAATTTCCATCGTTTATGTCTTGCTTGTTGGATTCAGATATTTCAACAAATAACCGGTATCAATTTGATTACTTACTATGCCGGCACGATTTTTGAAAAATATATTCATTTAAGTCCATTTAATTCAAGAATTTTGGCTGCTTGTAATGGAACTGAATATTTTTTGGCTTCTTTGCTTGGTATTGCATTTATTGAAAAAGTTGGAAGAAGGAAATTGTTATTTTGGGGTGCTGTTGGTCAAGCATTAAGTATGATGGCATTAACTATTGCTACGTGGCAAGCAGATAAACAAAGAGAAGAAAATGGAGGTGGAACTCAAGCTGGTATTGCTGCCACTGTATTTTTATTTGTTTTCAATAGTGTTTTTGCTGTTAGTCATTTAGGTGGTGCTTGGTTATATCCACCAGAAATTTCTTCATTGCTGTTGCGTGCTCAGACTAATGCTTTATCAACTAGTTGTAACTGGATATTCAATTTCCTCGTTGTTATGATCACTCCAATTGCATTCCAAAATATTAGTTACTATACCTACACTATTTTTGCATGTATTAACATATTAATTGCCCCTATGATTTACATCTTTTATCCAGAAACATCTGGTAGGACTTTGGAAGAAATGGATGCTATTTTCAACGCTACACCAGTTTGGAGACCTTGGGAAGTTGTTAGAATTGAAAAGAATATGCCAAGAAGAGACGATAATAATGTTGAAGATTTGGAAAAACCATATACAGACCATTTAGATTATGTAGAATCATCATAATACTATAACTATGTGTCACGTGTTTTACATGTCACGCCGTCTGAAATTCTTAATCTGGCGAAAAAGTAAACAAATGAAAAAATAAAATCAAAACAATTTTGACAACCCAAAAAAAAAAGATGAAACAAAGGGAAAAAAATAACATAACCTGCGAATCATACATTATAAACATACATTCCATAAACATCATCATCATCAATGGATTTACGTAGCTCACCTACTCCACCACCACCAGAGGTATTAGTTCCTACTGTAGAGTCAGCCTCAAAACCAATTTCAACCACAACAATACCATATCCAGTTATGACAAACACACTACAAAGTACACCAATCAAACGACATTCGAATACCTCCATACGAGTGGTGCTGCTGCTGCCAAAACTTGTGGAAGATAGAGGAGATCAGAGTAGTACACAGGTGGACTCGGAAGAACATCCTCATAATGATCAATTTGATAAAATAGCTAGTAATATAAATGAAACCATTGCTGAACTTAATACAATATATCAAGAAATTGGATACACATCAAATGAAACACTGACTAAAAAACAAGAGATATTTAAAACAATACAAGATTCAATCAATTTATTTGTTACTAATTTAACACGAGAGAAATCAAATATTGAGAATGAAGTTGAATGGTTGAGACAACAAATAAGGATAATTTTATCGATGATAAATGATACAAAGGGGGATAAGAATTTACAATTGATTAATAAAGGATTGGTATTTGATAATCGACAGATGTATGAAGATGGGTATAAACAACAAATTTTGAATCAGATAACAGCAATGGATAATGCAAACCCATTGGGAATTGAGAAACAAGAACAATTGAATTATATGTTGAGTAGTATACCTAATTTAAGTCTACTTGAAAAGAGAAACCGATTGAATAAGATATTTTTGAAAGTATTGGCACTGTTTGTTGGTGTATTCAAGGAATTTAATCAGGTCAATTTAGAATACGCAGAGATTAAGGAATTAATTGGTGAATCTGATGGTTCAAATCTACTATCTTCATTGCCTAGTAAAACTGATGCAGAATATCATAAAAGTACAATAGACCAATTTCAAAATCTTGTCAAGAAGTTAAATGTTGAGAAATTACCCAATGATCATAGGAAAGAAAAATTCACACCTTTTATATTAGCAAGTCCATTGAAGAACAATCCAGGAAGCCCCAATAAAACATATAGTGAACAACAGCCATCGGTTACAAATGATGATTTCATAGAGTTGAGAGATACAAACTACCAGTTGGTGAGAATCATAAGAGGGTTGAGATTTACCAAGATTACCAACGAGTTGATATCGTCGATTCAAGTAGAGATTGAAAACTGTCGAAATGAATTGGACACGAGAAAGACAACTATAATTGGGATCATAGAAAAATGTTTTAAATACATTGATACTTTACAAATCAAGGATGAGCAACTTCTCAAAATTCAACAAGAGGATCAACCTAATAACGATGCATACTTGGATTTAGAAACATTGAATTATATTCTTAGTACACCGGAGAATTTTGGTTTAAGTGATGAGAATATCGAGTTTTTAATTCATTTCCAAAATTTGTTGGATAAGACTATTGAAGTTAGACAAAAAGAATGGGACCAATATTCTACTACGTGTCACTCGTTATGGGAGAAATTAAATGAATCACAGGAGTATATTGATAATTTTCTTGAGAAAAACAGCTCGTTGAGTGAGTTGTCTTTGTTGAATTTCAAAATGGAATTGAATAAATTATACATAAAGAGATCTGAGTTTATTGAAACTTTTATATCTGATACCAGACAAGAAATTGAACAATATTGGGATAAAATGTATTATTCACCAGATATGAGACAGGAATTTGAATATTTCAACTATTCTAGTGATGAAGAAGATGATAAAGAACAAGTTTTAAATAATCATGAGAAATATTTAGAAGATTTAAAAGTTGAGTATAGTCAAAAGGAACATATATTCCAGAATTATTATGAATTGAAAGATCTTTTGCAAGACCAGGAATTTTTAATTGAATCGAGTAAAGATTCGTCACGTTTGTTGAGTAAGAATTCATGTAAGATATTACTTAATGAAGAGAAAATAAGAAAGAGAATTAACAAGAATTTACCACGTTTGATAGATTCATTGAAAAAAGGAATTAGTGAGTATAATAACAATGCTATCCAACAAGATAAAAAGACATTACTCATTGATGGTGAAGATTTCTTTGAAAAGATATTAGTTATTGAATCTAAACAGCATAAGAAGCCTACTACAAATAGACTGAATGCAAGAGCAAGTTCAAGTTCAAGAGGAAATTCAAGGAATGTCAGCGTATCTCCAAAGAAACAGACCCCAGGAGTTCATCAATCGAATGTGAAGAAATCACCAATTAGACCTGCTACTCGTCCTACAACAACAATATCATCAAAATCACGTATAGCAAAAGTAGCACCAACTAAGCCAAGGTGGAATAGTAGAGAGAAAACATTCAACAATCCCACTACAATTAAACTTACCAATGCGTTGAATGCAACTCTTGGACATAACTCATCAATTATACAAAGTAGTCCGTTACAAGCAACCAGGAATAGCTCGACATTAGAAAAACCACCTTCTGGTATACAACCATTGATATCTCCATTAAAACCATCAAATTTGATGAATAAGAATCATTCAACTCCAACCATGAGGCAAAGCCCTGTAACGTCAACAGTTGATAGTATTCCTATTGGTAAAGAGAATAATTCATCACCATTTGATTTATCACCTATTAAAATCAGACCGAGTTTTTTTGAACATGAATCAATGAATAGTAAATTAAGAAGAATAAGTGGTATCACTAATGATACTTCAACTTTAATTGGTGAGGATTATTTAAACTGGAGAGATGAAAAAATAAGACAACTTAAAGATTGATAAATATTGTACAGTTCTATTTATATTAATGTATTAATAAAATATTAAAGGTATATATGAAAGTAAAACAAAAAAAAAAAATGGGAAAGAATTAATAAAACAATATGTAGAATCAAAGGTTAGTAGTTTCATCTTTGGAGTTATCGGTGGTTGATTGTTGTTGTGGTGGATCTTCTTCATCGTCATCATCGTCATCATCATCATCGTCGTCGTCGTCGTCGTCATCATCATCATCATCGTCATCATCGTCATCATCGTCATCGTCGTCATCTATAATTGCGGATTCATCAATATTATCCTTTGAGTCATCAGCTTCGTCTTCATCTTCATCTTCTGGATAACCACCTAATTTCATGACGATTCTATTGACGATTTCATTCCAATCAGTCATACCACCCATACCAATATCACCATAACTTCCAAAAACTTTTTCCAGAGGTTTCAAAACTTCAATCCATGGCATATCATCAGCAATTAATCTCAATTGTCTCTTGGTTGTACTTGAACTATAAGAATGACTATCCATTGCTGGTGCTAATAAAATTGGATAAGAACTATTCCAAGCTCTGATAACATTAGTTAATAAATTATCACATATACCTAAAGAAATTTTAGCCAAAGTATTTGCAGTTAATGGACAAACTAATAAGATATCAGCCCATCTTCTTAATTCAATATGTAAAACAGGATCCAGTCTTGTTTTCCAAGTTGTCCATTCATCAATATCTGTCCAAACACGAACTTTTTTAACATTTTCTAAAACATTTAAAGTTTCTGGTAAAAGGAAATTTTCACTTGATTTTGTTAATATAACTTGAATGGAAATTTTATCAGATGTATAAATTTCAAGTAATTTATTAACAATCAATTTAACTTTACCAACTGATAATGCACCGCAAACACCAATTAAAACGTGGAATTTCCCATCATCTTGAGGTAAACGAGGATCAATATTACTATTCTGTTCACCTTTAGTAGTTGTAGTGTTACTATTGCTATTTGTTGTTGTGGTGGTGGTGGTGGTACCCTGTGCGGCTAGAGCGGTATTTGATGTTGTTGAATTTGAAGATGTGGCAGTATTCGCACCACCACCACCGCTAATAATGGATCTTGGCGTGCTTTGATTGCTAGCAGCTGCTGAAGAAATTGAATTTGTTGTTGCTCTTAAGCTTTCTTGACTTTTAATTGCATCTTTATTAAGAATTGAAGAAGGTTCACTATGTTGTGGACTTGTAATTGGAGTTAAATTATTATTTGAATTTGAACCACTTCTTGATCTATTTCTAACAGGTCTTAAAGTTTCTTCGACATAGAAATGTGCATGTACAGAAGGAGATTTATGATGTTGACTTTCTTTAGGAGGATTTAAAGTATAATCAATACTTGGAATAGATTCACTTTTATCAGGTTGTAATAGAGTTGGTTTGTGGTTTAATGAATCTGGTGATTCCATTCTTTCTTTTAAATAAGCCCCACCAGCCATAACAATTTCTCTATTTTCCAGAGAAGTGGAAATTTGAGGAGATAACTTAATCCCTGGAATATTCAGTGATGGTTGAGGGACTTGCGGTTGAGGATGATGAATTATATTTGCATCTGGTTGATTTAAAATAGGTGGTGGCGATGAACTTCTAGTCAAGATTGATTTTGGAATTTCTTCTTCCTTTTTTGGTTGAGCAGGAGATTTAATATCCTTATCAGAAGGCATTTCTATAATGACAAATCAGTGATAGATAGTGAACTAATGTGAAGAAATTAAGTAAATTTAAAATAGATTATGATTTTCAATATTTCGTTTTTTATTGATAATGGTTAATCAAACAAACAAACAAAAAAAAATTCCATAGAGAAATTCAAAGGGAAAAAAAAAAAAACAAATAAATTCCACACAATTGCTATTAAATTTTTTCTTCTGCTTCTGGCTTCACTGTGAAAAAAAATTTCTCACGGTTTGTGATTACGTAATGGGCTTTTTACCATTTTTCCAATTTCTTGGGAGTGGAACACAAACTATCCATGAATAATGGTTGTTACTTTGAATAAATGATATACTCAAGTTGTTGATTAGTGGTAGTTGATTGATGATGTTGACTGTCAAGCTAAAGAAACTGATTAAAAGTCAGTAGTATGCTCTCTACACGTTAAGGTTACAATTCACCAAGTTGTACAGACGATACAACTTTGATTACTATTATTATGACATCAGACCCAAGAGATTATAAAACAGGTGTTTCAGTATGAATTCGTTCATCAACTACAATTTCATTCATGTAGCAATAAAATGATATATCTTTAATAATATGTATATTAAACAGCTGTAACTAACTAAGCATGTTGCTAGAATTATTCCATTATAAATGTTAGTAGAGTTGAATGCTCCTTCCATAGGCTAAACGATAAACATCAACCAAATGAAAAACCGGGATAATTGTACCCATCAATGACACCCTGTGTCACGCAAAACTATTGCTAAGTGAAGCATCTTTTAACAAATGTTGTTTCATTACAATTTTTTTTCTTCTTCTTCTTCTTATTCTTCATCACCAAACTGGCCACCTGGTCAGTTAGTTGGTCGTGTAATTTGTTTAAATATGGATCACGTGAAATGGTTGACACACGTTTATATTGCAGTATTTTCTTTTTACTACACTTCAATCAATCACTAGTATACTTTAATTAAGTGTTACTTGCTGCAAATCTGTCTCTTATATGTAAATTCTCACCATATACTGATTGTAAATATGACTTATAATGATAATTAATATTCAACCAATGAAACTTTGGTTTTGTTTTTTTTAATCCCTTATACATTGTGATTATCAGTTAAATCACACTATTTTTTTATAAACCTATAAACTTGATATTATTTCCAAACAATGAATCTTCATCTTCAATAGCATTATCAACTTTAAATTTGTTGACTGTTATAAAACAAGTCAAATTAGTTTCTGATAGATCCAATTCTTCAAGTTTTGGAAATCTTTTTAATGAACCAATTAATTCATTCTTCAGTAGCCTCAATTTAGTTTAGTCAAAACAAAACAGAAAAAAAAGCTCGGTAAACATTCATTCTTTATATGTGATACAAATATGAAAAGAGTAGAATAATGACTATTTGAATACTGTCTACTCCTGAAGAGGACTAACTCTTGGTAAGCATTTTATTCATTAGTTGATAGCAATGATTCTATTAGAGAATGTTTGGCTTTGCTTCTAAAATTAGTAGAAGACGGGATAATAGTTGGATAGTGTAATTCCAATAGTAAATACACATACTAAAAGAAAAGTGAACATCGCCTATTCAAAAGTAATTAAGGATAACAAGAATCATAGAACCACCTGTTCGAGTTATGCTTTGTTGAGTTTAACCCATTTTATCAAAGAATGGTCGTGTATGTGTGACAGTTTTACCTGCAGGTCTGAGAAATGAATCAACTTGATCAACAACGAGAGGAAAAAAAATTAATATCATTCTCTTTTTGTTAGTTCTGGATTATCACAGTTTGGTACATATCTCGAAATTGTCCGTTGCCGACTTTTTAATTTCTGTTCTCGCTGAGGGCGTAAAGTTATTACCAATAAGATATGGTAATAATTAAATGCTTTGTCTACTAACGTTTCATTGAATGAATGTCAACAATCTAGCATTTATTTAGCAATATTAGAGAAGGTAGTAAACTACAAATAGATATCAAGATGTTCTATATACGCATTGTTTGACTACTTTTGTTTGTTTTACTCCTTTCTTGACTATTGCTGATTTGTTTATTATTAGAAATATACATTTATTTTGTCTTTTAAAGGATATTTAATTGTAGAATTATAGATTTTGATCAACCATACTTTAGCTAGTAAATGATAGCGTTTAGGTTGTTCACACAGTCGTGGTTTATCTATTTAAAAAATCTACATGAGAGAAATGAATATTTGAAAGGAAAATCCATACAAGGAATATTATTTATATTAATTTAATAGTATAAACTGGATTGCTAGAATGATAACTCGTTAGTAGATCCATATATTAACCTAGTAATTATAGGCCACTAACCAACAACTACATCGAATCATTCCACAATAATGTAAAAAAAAAACTAACGCTCTTAATTATCAAAACATACCTTAACCATGAAATATTTTTCTAGTTTTTTCTTTTCCCTTGTTGACATGAGAAAAGTGGTGATAACTTCTAAAAATTCGGTATGTTTGTATGCAGGAATAGACAAAACAAAGCACGTGCCACACTAAAAAGTTGAAATTGTTTCCCTAATTATTCATAAAGTAGTAAACGATACTGATACTGTTGATTAATTAGAGTAAAGTCAATAGTTTCTTTGATAAATTCCAACAAATTGCCAGTTAGGGGTAAATATAATCATTTTACTATAAAAGTATTACCAATTTTGAGTGAAAATATAAAAAGTCACATTTACTTATAATACAAACATACTGGGGATATATCTCCAATGATACTTACCACAGGATGATTATAGATACCTACTTTATAGATTATTCAAATGAAGTCCAAACATCCATAAAATTGAACTACCCTTTTTTTAGGTCGTGTATATTTTGACAGATATTTTAAACCATCAATCAAAGTCTAATCCAGTTTACCAACTGTAAAATACTTCAAGTAAACGTAGATTATCTCAATTATATACCCAAGTTTACACTCATATTATCAACTACAACCTCATACACCAATTCTTTGCAATAATAAAAAAAAAGATGAGGACATTCATGTGTATGACGCACAAGACTGCAGTCATCAAAGTAATTCTTTCCAAACTATGATTCATACACAAAAATTGAAACAACATTACTTACACAAGTAAGAAATGTACATTCTTTAATAAGTAGAAATCTTTTTTAAGAAAAAAAAAGAAATTCTCCCGAGGGTGAGTCGAACACCCGACCATTAGATGGCAAGGTTGGTTGAATTGCAACCAATTGTAATCCATTACAGTCTAATGCTCTACCAACTGAGCTATCGAGAGCTTTGATTGGTTAACGTCATAATTTCAGGTGAACAAACAATGGATACTACCATATATAATTCTGATAATTTATATTGCAAATAGGTTTCAATCATGATAAATTCAATATGTAACGTAATATCATTGTGCAAAATCCCCCCTTGAACAGGGTTATATCCTATAATTTATAAAAATAAAGTGGAATTTATCTATACAAAAATGACTAATCATTATAGGGGCGGAATATATAGAAATACTTACACTCGTGCTCTTACCAAAAATATTAAGGGTAGTGCACATTGGCAATAGAAATAATTTTCTTCATAACCCTTTATTTTATTTTTGCTAACAATATGTTGATGTTAAATGCCCCACTCTCGTTTTATTCTTATTAAAGAATAGTGATTAAAATCCGAAATGGAATGACATGAATATGTTTTTTATACAAGACATTGTTGTTGTTGTTGTTGTTTCAGAAATAAAATGAAAGTGTCATGTAAAAACCAGCAAATTTGCTATTGATGACTCTTTAATATTTGTTGAGAATGATTTCTGGAGAAACAGTGAAGAATAGTTTGCAGAGATAAATTACACACTTTAAAATCAGTGGGATTATTTTGTGTGTGCTCTTGCTCATTTATGTACAAACATATGCAAGTGTAATTATCTTTACTTTGTTAATTACAATGAGATATTGGGTGTTAACCAGAGAGAAATATGTAGCACTGTACCGTATCACGTGTTCACACCATTATGCTAGTCTAAAATTTCTTTCTTACTTTCTTTCTTTCTATCTGTATTGTTTTATTAGTTTATTCCTTGTTTTGGGTGTGTGTTTTTTTTTGCTGGTGATTTGTTCTTTAAGGGAAAAGTTGTGGATTTCCCGTTTTTCTGTTTTCGTTGATTAAAGTGTACATGTACATAAAGAAGAAGAAGAAGAAGAAGAAAAAATTTTCTCTCTCTCTCTCTGACTCTCTCTGACTCTCTGACTCTCTCACTCTCTCAGTTACGCTCACCCACCTTTACTTTAAATTAAAGACAAAATCAGTTTCTACCCTTTTTCTTTAATTTTTAATTTTTAATTTTTATTTACTACTATTATTCAACAACCTCTACAACCACTACCACTACAACCACTACCACTACAACCACTATATACTAATCACTTACGGATTATATAATCTACTACTCTGATATTATTCAACAATAAACTACTACATTCAATTCTTCATCTTACTCCATTCACTCCCACACTGTATTAATATTATCAATAACATCTATCAATTATTTTTATTTTAATTTTTACTTCTCCCATCAATCATTATTATTATTATTATTATTATTATTATTAATATAATTATTTATTTATTTACTGATTTTTTTATCCCAAGTATATCTACTATTCTTCCCATAGTCCCCTATATAAGAATTGTTTATTTTTTTTTTTAAGAATGAGTTTTGCAAGAACTGAAAGACGTAAATCAATGGCGGAACGTAGACCAAGTACTAGCTACACTCCCCCAGTTATTCCTCATTTGGCCGGATTGGAGAAACCACAGGATCAATATTTGAAATTAAACAACTGTGACGTATTAATCTTGGGTACGGGTTTACAAGAAAGTATTTTGGCCGCTTCTTTATCATGGCAAGGTACTCAAGTTTTACATATCGATCAAAATAACTATTATGGTGATTCTTGTTCAACTTTAACTATAGAACAAATCAAAAAATGGTGTATGGATGTAAATAATGGTAAAATTAATCATTTCCAAGATGCCCAAATTTATATCCCTGGTGGGAAATTCACTAATCAATTTAATTCAAAAGATTATGGGATTGATTTGACTCCTAAAATTATGTTTTGTCAAAGTGATTTATTGAGTTTATTAATAAAATCAAGAGTTTATCGATATTTGGAATTCCAAAGTTTGTCTAATTTCCATGTATTTGAAAATGATGATTTCCAACAAAAAGTAAATGCAACTACCAAACAAGATATTTTCACCGATAAATCATTATCTTTGAAAACAAAGAGAAATTTAATGAAATTTTTAAAATTTTTATTATTAGATCCAGAAATTGAATACAAGGAAAAGATAAAACCATATAAGGATTCTCCAATTCAAGATTTCTTGAAACAAGAATTCAAATTAGAAGAACCTCAAATTAATGAATTGGTTTATTCAATTGGATTAAGTTATAAAGAACAAACAAACACAAAACAAGCTTTGATTAGAATGAAAAGATTCTTGAGTTCATTTGATATTTATGGTAAATTCCCTTGTATGGTTTCAAAATTTGGTGGACCAGGTGAATTGCTGCAAGGTTTCTGTAGAAGTGCTGCTGTTGCTGGTACAACTTATAAATTGAACACAAAATTGGTTGATTTTGATCCAACTTCAAAGATTGCCCATTTTGATGATGGTTCTCAAATTAAAATTAATGAAAAACTTGTCATTTCTCCAACTCAATTACCAAAATTCTTACAATCTTCTTATGATAAAGTTGTCGAGAATTTAAAACCTTTTTATATCACAAGATTTGTTACTGTTGTTAGACGTGATTGTAAAGAATGGATGTCTGGAAATGAATCACTGGCTATTGTTGTATTCCCACCTCATTCATTACCTACAAATAATAATTTTTCAGTTCAAGTTATAATTCAAAATGGAGGTTCAGGAGTTTGTCCAAACGGTCAAGCTATTTGGTTTAGTAATACTATTGAACAAGATTTAAATCGTGCTAAAGCTGATTTAGAATCTGCATTTGAAAAAATGGAAGCTTCATTATTAAGAGAAAGTTCATCTGATGAAATTGTTAATGATATATTGGATGAAGAAGATTTCGTCATGAGTGAACAAGGTACTCCAATACTTGCAAATTCATTCAAATTGGGCTCTTCATTGATTAATTTTGTTCCTAAAGAGAAATTGGAAATTGTTTGTAAATTGGGTTATGTGGAAAAAACATACATCAATCCAGATTTATCAAATATTTTCAAACCAAATGAATCAAACAATATAATTTATAAAAATGTTCAAGATTCAAATAATGAAATAATTTTCTCCAATATGCCAAGTTCAGAATTAAGTTATGATGGAATTATAACAGATGTTAAATCAATTTATCAAAAAATCACAGGAACAACTGATGATTTCTTTGATGTTGATTTTGAAGATGATGAAGATGAATATGATAGAAATAATCAACCCGTTGTGCCTCCAAAAAGACCATCTGTTGTTGGAGGTATTGTTGGTGGTGGTAACCACGGTAATTCTAGTAATGCCAATTCAGGTACAAATCTTGCTGCTTTCAGAGAACAACTGAGTAATAATAATAACAATGAAAATGCTATTGATTCAGATGATGATTCCGATGATGAAATGAGAAATGATGATGAAGAAGAAGATCAAGGTAGAGGTCCAGAACCTTTCGGAGCAGATGAAATGGAACTATAATAAATAAGTAAGTATAATAGAAAACTTTTTATATATATATATATGTAAATGATAATAATGATTGGTTTCCTTGTTTGTTTTTTAACTAGTTTTTATACTCCTCATGTTGAAGTTCTTTATATAATTCCAAATAACTGTATTTATTACGTATATAATCTTTTTTTTTAATAATAAACAAATATATATAAATCGAAAAAAAGAGGTATCTATCTAATTAAAAAATATCAAGAACTGAAATGAAATCAACGAATGGCAAGTATAGTTGTTTTGTTTTTTTGTTATACAATTAAAACAATACCAAGGATAAAATTAATTAAAATTAAATTAATCATTGAATTTTCTAATTTTAATCCATTATTATAACTACCAGTTTGAACAGGATATCCACTTATCATACCAGTATAAGTTGAATAATCTCTAGTTGTAAATTGATCAGCAACTGTAGTACTTTGTATAGTATTAGTACCACCATCATTTGATGATGTAATACTATTTAATATACTTCCTAAAATTCCATTACCTCCATTAGAAGTAGTAGAAACTGATGTTGTTCTTGAAGTTATTAAAGTTGATGAATTAGAATATCCTTCTGTTGCTGTGGCATTTATACCTAATAATGAAGCTAACCAATTATCAGTACTTGATCTAGTAGAAGAAGAAGATCTAGTAGTTGAATTTCTTGATCTTGTAGATGATGAGGAAGAAGTAGTTGTAGTGTTTGATGAAATGGTTGAATTTCCAAGTAATGCTTGTAACCAATTCTCAGTAGATGTTGTTGTAGTAGATGATGGTTCTTCACTTATTTCAGTTTCTGATGCTTCAATTTCATTAGTAGTTTCAGTTTCTTCATCAAATTCAGAAGTTTCATCATAATTATCCGTTGATTCTGATTCTATAGTTGATCTTGTATTTGTAAACAATGTTAAAACAACATTACTTGAACTAGTTGAATCATTTTCTGAATTTACACTAGTACTGGTACTGGTACTTGTAGTTTGTGAAATTCCAAGCCAATTCAAGAAATTAAAACTTGAAGTAGAACTAGATGATGATGATGAAGATGAAGTTCCAATTGCTCTAACTGAAGTAGAACTAGGAGTAGATAATCTTAAAGAACTCGTAGTTGATTGTTGTTGTTGTGATGGTGGACCAGTTCCATACCAATCATGACTAGTCAAAGGACTATTTGTAGTTCTTTCAATAGATGTTGAAGAAGGTGGTGTGGTTGTTGATGTTGTTGAACTTGCTGTACTTTGACCTAAAGTAGTACGACCAGCACCAAATAATCCTTGATACCATGGTTTATTACTACTTGAACTACTACTACTAGTAGATGATGATGACGATGAAGTTTCTATATTTGAAGGAGTTCCATAAATTTGATACCAAAATGTAGATCCTGTACCTTGATCAGTAGTTGAAGTAGTTACGATTTGTTGAGTAGTTGAAGGAGTTCCAAATAATTGATACCAAAAAGTATTTGAAGTAGTTGTTGTTGGTATATCATCATCTGCTCTTTTAATATGTAATCCCAGTACTAATGGAATAGAAATTATTATCAATGTTTCAATTTTCATATTTATGATTCCTTGATCTTCGAAAGAGTTAAATTTTTCTAATATAAAAGAAAATGGATGATTTATAAGAATTTATATAAATTCTAGATTTCTATTTATATTTTCAAAAATTCATCGTCATGGTTCCTAAAGAATATTAACCTAAATAGTAAAAAAAAGGAACAACGATTCAATGTCCGGATTAATGAACTGTGAAATCAAATAATCACGATACTGAGAAAATTTCCTTTTTGGGAAATATAACCTGAATGCAAAAAAAAAAAAATCGAGAAATAGTACTAGAACAAAATTTCTATTCCCCTGTTTATTTTTTATGTAAAATATTCTATATCGTGGGGTCTTTAAAAATACCATTCAATAGTTTATATTATTCAACTATCAAGATGTCAAAACGCATTTAAGTGTCCTTGGTTTCAGCTTGGATTGTGGAAGAAGAACGATCGATCACTAACAATGAAGTTGATAGTGATACCAGCAACTACACACACGCATTTGTCCTTTTTTCTTCTTATTCTTTAAAGAACATTATCATATACATTAGCTTGCTATAACACTCCTTGTTTCATTACCCACATGGTTGTGGCTTAATTGAAATGAAATTACCAATGGTGAGGTTTATCCTGTGATGGTATTTGATTACTCTTTTAAGTTATCGTCGATAAGCGCCGCACATTTTTAACAACTGGTAGCCGCAAATTATAGGGCTATAGCCCTAACTTATAAATTTATCGCCATTTCACACGACTTTTAGTCTAATTTTTTTTTTGCCTCATAGTGAGAATTCCCCCTAACACTCACTCACACTGAGTGAAAAATTTCTACACCTCATTCCAAAATCTTACCTGGGTTCTTCTTTTGGAAACCACTGAGCAGTAAATTGATTTACTTGACGAAGAAGTCTATACAGTATAATTAATAGAAAAAATAAATCATCCATAATGTCTGATATTGAACAAGAAACCGTTGTTGAAGAAGTTGTTGTTGAAGAACAATCCGGTGCTATTACCATTGAAGATGCTTTAAAAGTTGTTTTAAGAACTTCTTTAGTTCACGATGGTTTAGCTAGAGGTTTGAGAGAAGCTTCTAAAGCTTTATCTAAAAGAGAAGCTCAATTATGTGTCTTGTGTGATTCCGTTACTGAAGAATCTATCATTAAATTAGTTGAAGCTTTATGTAATGAACCAGAAGAAAAAATCCCATTGATTAAAGTTTCTGATGCTAAATTATTGGGTGAATGGGCTGGTTTATGTCAATTAGATAGAGAAGGTAACGCTAGAAAAGTTGTTGGTGCTTCTTGTGTTGTCGTTAAAAACTGGGGTGCTGATTCCGATGAAAGAAACATTTTGTTGGAACACTTCTCTCAACAATAAATTAGTTAATCTGATTTATTATTATTAAAATAACAACTATAATCCATTTTTTCTTTTAAGAATATATTGTATATTTTTTATAACTTGTAATATAAAAGATTAATGCATTATTAAAAAGATAAAAACAATATTGATTGATACTGATCAGTGTCGCGTCATATAAGATTCATTTATGACACTATAAATTAGACACGGTCTTGTTAGCGAGACACGGGAGCGGGAAAAATAAACCCACCAAAAAAAAAAATAATCAAAATCAAAACAATTCATTTCTGGAGTAAACAAATATATTCCGTGGCGACAACAAGATATGGACGATAGGACGTTAAAGAAAACAGCAAGGATACGGGGTTCAGGGTATGTATAATTCTATGGGATGATACTTTAGAAATGCATTTATACTAACATGATATTTATTACCAGCTCCCGAAATATTCAATCATCAGAATTAAATATAAGCAATTCAACACAAATTAATAATCAACGAATAAATAAAAAACATGCACGAATAAGAGGATCAGGATTACGAAATACAAAAACTACTCAATCATTAACTATTGATTCATCATCTAATAATGAGAATAAACGATTAGTTTCACAGTTATCATCAGCGTTAATAAATAAACAAGATTTGGAATTGACTAGATCAACAAGAAGAAAATCATCCATTTTACCATATACTATTATTGATAAATTACCACCTTTAAGAAGAAATAAAAAAAGAGTTAGTTTTAAAGAACCTGATTTAAATACAGAGCATGAATTGCCAGATATTGGATTTCCAGAAGAAGAAAACACAACACCTGTGAAACGAACAGTAGGAAGACCAAAGAAACAAAAATCATTACGTGGAAGAAAACCCAAATCAAAGGAAGATGAGCGACAACAACAACAACAAGAAGAAGAAGAACAAGAAGAAAGTGATACATCATTACTTAAAGCACAAGCGATTGATGAGAAAATTGCAAAAGTTAAACAAAGAATAAAAGAATCTGGATTAATTGGAAATGTAAATTCAAAAAGTAGGAAACGTATTAATGAATCAAGTATTTTAGATAGTCCAAAGTCAGAAAATTCAGAAATTGGATTAATTAATGGATCAAAAAGATCACAACATTCATCATCAATTAAGAAAAGAAAAGTATCATCAGGTGAATCGTCACTAATATCACAACCTTCTTCACCACCACCACCACCACCACAACCATCTTCAATACGTCAACAAGTCATTCCTACCCCATCTCCTGAACCAGATATTAGCGATTCTGAACAAGATAGTGATCCAGATTATGGGAATTCAATAATTCCTAATAGAAGAAGACAAGGGGCAAATATAATATCATCAGGTAAAACTCGACGAGTAGCACTTCCATTATTATCAAAAACCAAAAGTAAAATCACTATAGATTATCCAACACTTGTCAATGCATCAAATAATCGAGGTAGAATACAACGAGCAAGAATGTTGGATGTATTACGATCATTAATATCAACATTTGAACCACCACCTTCATTAACTAATAATAATTTAGAAATTCATGAAAGATTTAAAAATAATTTACTTTCAAATATAGATAAATTAAGAGATGAAACTACAACAATCGAAGATATTGCTAAAAATATTCATTCTGTACAAAAAGCTAAAAAAGAATTAAGAAAAATGATATTTGATTTAAAAAATGATCATGTTGATATTGGTAATCAATTGAATCAATTACGTGTTAATATAAAGAATAAAAAACAACAATTTGAATCTTTAAATTTATTAACTGATCAATTTAAACAAACTAAAGAGATGATGTTGATGATGGAGGAGAAGGAGGAGGGAGGTAAGAAGAATAGAAATTCAGGATTGAATGATGATGTTCAATTAAAGTTGGCATCGTTAGGAAAGATATTGAATCCCGATATTGGATTATGTTCAAAACTTGAACACATCAATAATAAACTTGAACATTTAGATGAGTCTATATAATAAATAGACATTTGTAACGAATATTTAAATTTGTATTATTATCAATTATTATTATACTAAATTACTGTACAAAAAAAACAAAAACAAAAAAAAAAAACTAAAATAACAATTCATGATATATGAAAACAATTTAATGAATAAAAACAAAAAATCAAACTTACGATTATCCAGTTAATGATTAAATTATAAGGAAACAAAAAAGAAAGATATCATATCCCATCTGTTCCCTAAATCCATGTAAGCATTGGTACTTCCAAATCTCTCTCTCTCTCTCTCTCGTGCTCCACTTTTTGACTTGATTCATTTCTCATATTTAGTTCTCATCTTTAATCAAAGCCAAAATCATTCTATACAAGTAAAAGAAGAACATCAATAAATGGAAACCCAATTTCAAGAAAGATTCTTTTTTATGTTTAGATAAAGTTCTAAAAATTTCAGTAGCATCCAATAAATGATTCTTAGTATAAAATTTATTAACATTATAAGCCAATAATGGTAAATTCAACAAGAAACAAAACCAATAACCATTAATTAAAAATAAAACAGTAATAAATGCATGTAATCCAGCTTCTGGAATAAACCAAGGATTTAATTTATTACATAATTCAATTGGATTAATATAATCACATTCTAAATCAGAATACATAATTGTGAAAAAAACTTGAGAAAACAAATTAATTGCATTGGTAACAACCGCAAGAATAAATAACCTAATTAATAAATTGGTTAGTTTCCATTAATGATGAATGGGTACTTAGTTGTTGTTTACAGGTAACAATCATTAAATAAGATGCTATCATCAATTCTTTCACGTTGTCTTTGAACTTGACAAAAAATTGCCGTTCGCCAAAATGGAATAAATATGACAATCTAATCCATAAAGTGTGTGTATAGTTCCTGGATTACCCATGCTAAGTAACAGTGATTTGTCGATGAATAAATAACATACCATCCTTCACCGTTCATTTTAAGTATATGTTTATGCAAGTAAATAAGTAAAGGAGTTGATGATTAATAATAATAATAATAATAATCAAAAATTGTTGATAATTACAAATCTAATTTAAAGGTGATAATTTTTTTTCTTCTTCTTCTCTTACAGCCAAAAACAACAAAAAAAAAATTTTTTTTTCTCTCTCTCTCTGTTCTTCTTTGATCTTCTGTTTGTCTGTTGATTGATTGATTGATTGTTGATATGACAAAGAGAGAGAGAGAGGAATTTCAGATTACGTCGACTGATTGCCCCCATTGCGGTCGAATTGGCTCGCACAAGATCTTGTCCACCCCCCCCCCTCTCAAGGAATTGTGATCTAAAATATTGTTACATTGCAAAATGATAAACACACAAGAAGTCATGAACACGTATTATATATTATTACACATAGCTAACTCTTTTCTACACATTTCCATTTCCAATCTCTTTCTTTATCAACTGTTATAATATCATCAACTTTACCATCAAATTCAATTGGAAATTTATCAAATTCACCAAATTCAATTAAATTAACCCATTTTTGTTCATTCACATCATACCAACATCTGATTACGTGAACGGTATCTTTATCTTGAATAACTCCTTGGATCCAATTCCCAATTCTAACTAACCTACCTAATCCATTAATCAATTCTAATGCAAAGATAGGAATATTGGCATCATTATTTTCTTCATCTTCTCTAACTTCTTTATTTGGTGTATGTTTTAATGGATCCAATGATCTCCATATTTCAATATATGGAGAAACAACACCATTATCATTTTTCATCTCACCAGTTTCTTTTCTATCTAATCCATATTCACTAAATGTTCCAATATCAGAATCAATAACTAATGGATCCCCCAGAATTAAACTTTCATGTAATGCAACTGATGATATAACATTATCAAACTTAATACGTCCATTATCCAATGGAATTTCTTTACCAGCAATACACCATTGGAAAACTTCATGAAATTTTTCATCTTTATTGATTTTAGAAATATATGGATAAAATGATTTGAAAATTCTTATATCTACATAATTATCATTTGGTGTTGTGAAAGCCAATGTACTTGTAAGTTCTTCTGGTTCTGCCGGTGGCCATTGAATAGATACTCGAGTTGAAATAACCATCTTTGATAATAATACGTTGATATTTTACTTTAGTTGTAAATAATAAACAAATGCAACAAAAAACCAAAAGAATTAAAGACAAATAAGAAGGAATTAAATACTCTTGATAAATTCAATTTGATTAAATCTGGAGAACGGAATAATAATAATTAAAAAGGGTAATTAAATTCCGTTTATCTATAAAGAAAAAAAAAAAAAACTGCGAAATATATTACTTAAATTAGAAACTATAATAAATACACTAATATGATTGATCAGTTAGCGCTAAACAAAATCATTTCCGTTACATACTTTGGTATAAATCAAACAATACTTTTCTTCTTATATCTTCAATCAAACTACCATTTAATTTAACCATTTTGTAAAAATAAACAACAATAAAACATTCAAAGATATCTCTCGCATTAAGTAATTCATTTCCATCTTGGTTTATCAAATCAATTAAAAAGCTCTTATCTCTGTTTGTCCAAAGTCCAGAATGATCTAATTCTTTATAATTAACCAAAAAGCTCTGAATATCTTCACCTCTAACTATATCAAGATTTGTTGCATCCTTTTCATCTGATGAGAAAACATATGGATATAAATCTTTGGTACATGGATTTAATCTTGCATCCAATACTTTTAAACTATTTCTTGATCCACGTAATCCCTTCATTATAATACCATGTCCATCTATTAAATTATCAACAAGATAAATTTTCTTAAGTTTGGTGAAATTTTCCAACCCTGATAAATCAGTCAACTTATTAAAACTCAAATTTAAATTCTGTACATTAGGAAATTTCAATGCTAAATCATTTGGAATAGATTCTAAATTCATGGCAGATAATGTAAGATGAGTAACATATGGGAAATTGCTCATGAATTTCGATTTAGGGATTATATTGAAAAAATGACGATTACCTGATAAATCCAATTTCTTGACATTTTCACAACCATAAAGTATTTTAACTAATGTTTCGCTACTTTCTTGCGATTTACATGAAATTTCATCAAGTGCCTTTAATTTTTTAATCCCATCTACCTCTGAAATTACATTTTGATCAATTTTTAAACATCTCAATAGTGGCAAGTTTGACACATCTAAATATCTAATAATGTTGAATCTCATCAGTAATTTAACTAAACTAGAACTTTTACTTTCAAATTTAAACAAGGAATTATTGTCCAACTCTAAAACCTTGAGTTTTGGTAAATGACTTAATCCTGTAATATGTTGTATGTGATTATTTGAAAGATCCAACATTTCCAAATTTGGCAAATTAACATCATTAAAATTAACTTTTCCTTGAATTTCATTTTCCAGTAGATTTAAAACTCGAAGATTGAAAAATTCTCCTAATCCTGAAAGATTACTAATTTTGTTATTATGCAAACTTAGACTAGTTAAATGAATATTCTGGCTAAGATTAGTAACCACAGTTAGTTGATTATTATCTAAATTCAATTCTGTCAAATCGTGGTAATCACTGAAAGGAGTAATACCTTCAATTCTATTATTACTTAAATCCAATTGCATCACTTGACGAGGTAATCCTGTTAAATATTTTATATCATTATTAGATAAATCAATTTTAACTAAACTTGGCAACAATGTATTCAATCCTTTGACATTATTTAAATTACAATGATCCAACATGATTTCACGTATGTCTTTCCATGATAATGACTCATTATCTAAAGTTTCAGTAATAACAGAAACAAGTCTCTTGTTAGATTCCGAAAATGATACTTCTTGAATTTGTGAAACTCTTGTTACATCACCAAAAGCAGCAGGAGTGGCTCGCATTGAACTTGAACTAGTATCTGGTTCATGAAATGAAACCTCAAGTGGTTCAGTTCCTCTTTTTGATCTATTCTTTTTAAGTATACTTTGCTGTGGTTGTGGTTGTGGTTGATCTTGATCTTGAGGTAGTGGTTGTGGGTTTGATGGTTTTACCAGAGCATCTATATTCGTAGAAGTTGTTGGATGAGAATCATCAATTAAATCTGGAATAGATGCAAATGTCGTATGATTTAAAGATTCGTTTTTACTTCTCCAAACTTGTTTTTCAGGATCAAACACATTGCCATTAATTTCATAAGGTATTTCAATATTAGGTTCAACTCTTCCTTTAGTTACTTTACGCTTGAAATTGCCTCCTTTATTCAATTGTAATTGTGAAATTGATTTCCAAATCACAGAATTCGAACTAGCACGACTCCCAAGAACAGGTGATTTTCTTGCACGGGATTCTTCCAACGGATTAGAATTCTCATGTTCAAACATTGGAATTCTATTCTGCACTATATGAGCTGAATTCAAATGTGCTCTTGTTGCTGGTGAAATATAATTTTTTGTTTGTTCTGGTGAAAAATATTTCTTTGGATTGGCAACAGGAATAATTTCTGTTTCAAAACTTTCATGAACATCATCATCACCATCCTCACCAAGGTCTTCACTTTCTTCATCAAATGTATACGATCCTTCAGTTGGTTCAGGAATCTCATTTTGATGAATCATCAGTCGAGTTTGCAGCACACTTTCTCTTGAATATGAAGTATAATTTTGAGGATCTTCACTGCTAGCATCAATCCCCTGAGTATGAGCGTCTCTTATCTCACTTGTATCCGATTTCATACCCGTTGATCCTGTAGAAAAAGAAGTAAATGGTGATGAATCGTCTTGATCTTGATCATTATTAAAATTGATTTGTTGATCAATATCAAAACCTTTTTTCGGAGTGGATGTATTTGTCGCTTGAGAAGTGATTCGTACACCATCAGTCATACCAGGATATCCCTTTTTCTTTAAATCTGAAAATACTTTATCAGCATTCTTTAGATATGATCTTTCATTGTATGCACCTGTCTTGGTGAAATCTTTAATGTTTCTAGCATCAGGGGTATTAAGAATAGTTGAATTTAAATTAAGTACTGGGGGCTTGGATAAACTATGACTTGTTCTTTTCAGTACTGATTGTTCACTAGTTAATGGAGGTGCAGGTGTATTTTTATTTGAACGGACATTTTCAATTACTTCTGCTAATTGATTTTTTGTAAAAGTATTATAAAAATTATGATATAATTTCAATGGTGATGAAAGGTCTCTGTTTGGTCCATTGGCAATAACTTCTCTTACTGTTTCCATAGGTCCAGGAAAATCTCTTGGATGTTTATTAATAGTTGGATATGGTGTTGAAACAGTGGTTGAAATAGAATTTTGTTCTTTATTAATTTGATCTTCTTCTTGGTCAACATGTTGGAATATTCCTGCTAATTCATCATTATTCTTCTGGTTCTCATATTCTAGGTGTGCAGCTCTATATTTAGGTACTTCCATATTCAGTATATTGGAATTATGAATCACTGAATTACCTGTGTTCAAATCATATTCTGTGAATGGACTTGGTCCCTGAATTCCCATTTTACCAGGTGTAGAAATTTGAGATTTGAATTCTTCCGATGGCCATTTAACATCTGGTAATCCAGGAGGATAAATCCCCGCAAAATTCCCTGGATTGTTGTTACTAACATTATTATGTGACAATTCGTTCTGTAATTGAGTTGAAGTTTCTTCCTCCGTAATTCTTGTAGCAACTGCTATTCCTGGGGTTGTACCATTCATAATTTTTGAAGCACCCAAATCTTTGGATCTTGCATTAGGATGAGTTTTATTTTTAAATGTATTAGGAAGTGATTCACCTGGTGCAGAATCACTCAAAATTGAATACTGTGTCATGTTATTTCCAAATTCGGAACTTTGATTCCCTGTAAAATCAATATTCTGACGATAAGATAATTTTTGTTTATATGGCAAAATATGTTGTGGAGATGACTGTTCCAATATTGAAATCAGTTGATTATTATTATTGTTATTAAGGTCATTAATATTATCATTATTATTAAGGTCGTTGATATTATCAGGGTTATCATGAATCATATCAACTTCATCCGACAGTTTTTGCATGACAGATTTCTCATTTGGTTTGGAAATATCATTGATATTGTCAATTTCAGATGGATTTGAATTTTTTGTTGTTGACCCTGAATTATCTGACACTTCACTATTGTTACTTTGGGAATATTTGTCAACCCCTTGATCAGGAGTTTCCACAAGTTTTTCAGACATCTTTTTCTCTTTTTCTTTTTGAATAATACAATATTATTCGTCTTGTCGGGTTATTAGAATTTAGTGGGGGAGAAATCTATGCAATAGATATCGGGCATGCTATTATTTTTCCCTCTCGCTCTTTCATTTTCAAAATTTTCTTTTTGTTTTGATTTTGTTTGTTTACATTTTTCAACAATGTGGACCACACAGTAAAATTGAGAACGCGTTATATACAGGATGTAACCACAGTTGGTAGCGCGGAAGAGAATTGGTAGTATCATACATAATTAGTTACAGCAATTCTAGAACCCTTTTGACCAAATCATATGGTTAATCAATATGGTTCTAGATTGAGATATGTTTGACTATGCTACAATCATCAAGAATCAAAGAAATTTCATTCTGTTTCTTTCCTCCTTTCCATTTTTTTTTGATTTTACTAGAAATTTTGAACAAAATTTGAAATTAAAAAAGATAGGGAGAACTGAAATTTCTAGAAACAACAACAAAAAATTCAATAACCCCAAGTTTAGCTTACTCTACAGGATAGTTTTAGTAATCGCAAAATACCTAGATTGCTTAAAGTTAACTTGATAATAATTGATAATAGGAAACTCAATTGGCAAGTCTAAGAGTACCAAGCTTCTGCTGTAAAAAGTGTTATGATAAAAAGCAGTGTGTGTGTGGAGATTGCAAATCTTGATAATTCCACAATTAAATTAATGGATGAAATTGATAATTCTAAATATAACAATTGAATTATGATTTACTAAAAGAAACTAAATCTGGGGCGAGTTGAAGCATGAGTTGTTAATTAATGGCCCTAATTAAATGTTTTCACTACCCTTTGAATCAAGAATTAATGAACATTCTATTGCTAAACTTAAACTTTTCTTTTTATGATTATTTGTTCATCGTTCATTCTTGCTCATAATTAAACCCATAAGGATAAGTTTCTTCATGGACTTTTCTTTAAAAAAAAAAAAATTCGGAAATTTTGGAACAGCTCATTTAATCAACGAACTGCTTATCAAATTCAATGTTTATTGTTTAAAAATTTTTGTTAATCTTTTAGTACATGAATTTATTAAAATAAAAGATAAATTTCATAACCCACTTCATGGGTACAACGGTCCATGCACAACCTAGCATTTACAACAATAATCCCAATTCACTTGTCTTTAGAATATTATAGGCCAATTGTTGCAGATGAGGAGATGCTTTGCATCTTTCAATGCTGTACGACGGCTTATATTGCATATGTTTTTAACTTTTGAGGATTGCCCGAAATTGCCCCTACTTAACTTGTTGTGGCATACAAAGACGCGTTTTAGGAGAATCAACAAAGCGGAACAAACAAATATAAAAAAAAGGGCTCAATTATTGATTCTTTTTATAGTATCACAACTCTCCCCATTCTTAAATCATCTAAGTGAGATCTTCAAATGAAAAATTTGAAACTTTTTTCAAAGCAAAGCATTGAGTGATTAAGTATACCCCAGTCCATTTCTATAATTTCTAATTTTAGTGAAATGGCAGATTTCAATGGCTATGGTCTACCTGAAATGATCAATGCAACAAGTAATGGAGTGTAGCTATTTATTCTTGAGCTCATGGTTTTGTCATACAGTTTTTTATTCATGGGTTCGGGTGGATTTATTTCTCCGGAAACTTTTACCCGATGACGGCATTATCAGACAGACAGAAGAGAATGTTTGTCTGCAAAGTAAATAATAATAAGAGCACAACATGGAATTTCCATATTATAACTACCATATTGCCTGTTGATGATGTTAGCATTACATTCAAAAGGTTAAGCCTTTATATTAAGATCATGCATTTTTTTTCCTAAAAATTTAAAGGGCCTTCCTATCTTTTTTCAATATAGACAATAATTCGATAAAGGGTTTAGTTTCCACGACATAATTGGGGGCTTAAAAAACCCAAAATTTTTGTGTGGAAATGAAAATAGGGTTAAGACTTGCTTTTTGCTCCCAATCTACTTAAATTCTACACTACTCTTGTAAATTTATAAATAGCTTTTGATGGGCATGGAATAAAACCAAGTACAAAATCGTCAATGTAAGGGTATAGGTATTAGAGAATTCGAATATTGCCATGAAATTTGGAATACGATTCTAGAAAAGCAAATGCATACCCAATAAGAGGCAAGATGATGATTTTGGTGATATGTAATTGATACCTGTCTGATAGAGCCCATTTTTCAAACGTACTGGTATTCCATAACCTTTCAATTATACTTCATCTCTCTGCCCTCCCCTCTCCTGTAAAAATATTTCTTTGCATTTGCAGAAACAAAAGTCAGGTTATTCAATTAGTTCCTTGGGGGCGGAGGGAGGTGGAGGTCAAAAAAAGGGGATAGGGATTAAATGAAACTAGTTCCTGGACGAAAGACCCGTACGGTGTGAAATTTAGAAACACTTTGTGTAAAAACTAAGCATGATATGCATAAACTCAAAAGAGAAAGAAATGCCTAGAGCAAGCATCCACAATTATGTACATAATCATTGTGGCTATAACCTCAAGTATTCTTCTGATCATCAACTTGTCTCAACTGTAAACGATTGTCTAAAACATAACTACACAATGAAATATAATAATGCCCGCAAAAAAAAAAATAAAAGAACTTTTGCGACTCTGAATGTTACTAAGAAAAACAAAAAAGTTAAATCGATCTATGCTTTCCCCAGTTTTTTTTTTTTACTTTATATGTAGTTTAGTTAGCTATTTCTTTTCTATTATCTAGGAGTTATATAATGAAAAACAGATTAGGGGCATATCGTTTAGAATTGAAAGGAGGTATTAGAACTGAGGCGACAATAGTACATTATTTGTAATTAAGTTTCAAAAGGGAATTTTTAAGTATTTTGTCAATTCTTCCAGATTTGTCCAGTTTAAAGCCCGTTTACTTAATATTCATTGCTTTTTATTTTTCTGTTTCATGATTATCTGCAATAATCCTTTGTTATTTCTCAATAAATTTATGCAATATCTAAAATGGACTTGCTTAGAAAATGCTGCCCAAAATTTCAGGCGATGAAGCATAGTTACACCATCAATTTTAAGAATTGAACAAAGAAAAAACAAAAAGAAAAGGGTTCATAAATTTCAGAATGGGTTCTGGTCCTTAAGATTGTAGTTTCATCAGAAACACCAATTCTGTATAGTACAGATTCAAGGGATGAGAATATATTCATATCTCATCAAAAGGTATTAAGTGTGATTTCCAATTGGAAAATCATGCCACTCATAACCAGCCCCTTGAATTAAGTTGTCCCTTTGATTTTCTTCTTTTTCTTTTTGCCTTTTTTTTTGTTTTAATTTGCAGCTCTAATCCCCCTTTTGCATTTTTAACTCTTACATGATTTTCTAGAACACTACTACTGCTCTTCTTTTTCTTCTTATTTCCTTTTAGATGGTTGATATCGAATAGTAACAATTTGAAATGGGATTGTTGGATATTCAACAATTTCGTTAATGTAGGAACCGCGTAAAAATTGTTCACAGAATATGAATTTAGTTTTAATGACGACAAACATCACTGTAACTATGCCAATTGAAAAAGTGCAAATATAGATTGTACGTACGGTTCATAATTCATTCCATTATAACAATAGATCAACATCACCAGAGTCTAACACAAATCAATAGGAATTGCAAGAATATTAAAACTGCAAAATTTACTAAATATTTTTTTGCCGCGGCATGTTGCCTGAAAAATTTGTGTGGTATTAATTTCCCTTAGGTGCAGTTCAAAGCATTGGTTAAGAGAGAGAGAGAGCCAAAAAAAAAAAAAAATTCATCAACCTAACACACACTTATTACGAGATATCAACATTTTGTTTTATTGCAAAATGTATACCAAACGGTACAAACGTGCTACTGCCTAAGCATTTGGAATTTGAACTAAATGATGGAATGAAAAAAAAGCGCATACACAAGGTTAAGGATTAATTTCCCTTTTGCACAACTGCACCCCTTTCCATTCTTGTTGTTTTCCATTAGTTTAGTAAAGGTTTCCGTAATGAATATAGATTCCACAGCCATCGTCAATATGGGGCCGATCATTTGGTTATAAAAAGGCTGTTAGTTTCCATGGCATTGCAAATCAGAACTTTTCGATTTTCGTTTCCCAATCACTACCGCATCTGCTAATTTCAGAGAATTATCATGAAGTTTGCTACACTCGTTGCTTTAGCTGGTGCTCTTTCTAGTGCTGCTGCCGGTTCATATAAACATGGCGGCAAACACAAGGATAAGGGTACCACTTACTGGGTCACTGAATACGCTCCTTCGACTTCATATGTCACTGTTACCAAATGTGCTAAAGGTAAATGTACCCCAACTGCTCACCCAACTGGTGTTACTAAAACTACCACTGTTCATTCGGGTGTTACCACCGAGTTCACAACTTATTGTCCTTTAACCACTTCTCATGAAGTTGTCAAGTCCACTTGTTCTGATTCTGTCGTTGTTTGGTCAACTAAAAATCCCCCATGGCATTGGCACTGGCCAAAACCAACTGATTGTGGCCAAAAAACCTCTACCTTAACTACTGGTACTCCAACCCATGTTCCAACTGCTACTCCAACTGTTTCAACCACCTGTCATAAAGTTACTTCCACTAAATGGTGGTGGGCCTACACTACTACTGAATGTTCTACTTTCACTGTTTCGTCCACTTCATCATCATTACTTTCTACTAGTAAGACAACCGAGAGTAACACTGTTCCAACTACTGCTACTGATGTTACTACTGCTACTCCAACTGTTTCAACCACCTGTCATAAAGTTACTTCCACTAAATGGTGGTGGGCCTACACTACTACTGAATGTTCTACTTTCACTGTTTCGTCCACTTCATCATCATTACTTTCTACTAGTAAGACAACCGAGAGTAACACTGTTCCAACTACTGCTACTGATGTTACTACTGCTACTCCAACTGTTTCAACCACCTGTCATAAAGTTACTTCCACTAAATGGTGGTGGGCCTACACTACCACTAAGTGTTCTACTTTCACTGTTTCGTCCACTTCCTCCTCATTGCTTTCCACCAGTGATACAACTGAAAGTACTCCTCTTGAAACTACCAGCAGTGAAGTTTCTACCACTACTTCCGATGACGGTCAACCAACAACCACCACCGCTACTCCAACTGGTGGATTGTCTACTTCTTACACTACCACCACTGATTTCACCACCACTGTTATTACTACTACTGACTGTGGCCACCATGGTTGTTCTCAAACTACCATCACCACTGGTCTTACTGTGATTACTGTTACTACTTCAGAAACCGTCACCAGCTACACCACCTACTGTCCAATTCCATCCACTGAATCAAGTATTGAATCCACCGGTGTTACTTCTGAATCCACTGGTGTCCCATCTGGTGCTGAATCTACTGGCGCTCCATCTGAATCTACTGGTGTCCCATCCGGTTCTGAATCCACTGGTGTTCCATCTGGTGCTGAATCCACTGGTGTCCCATCTGGTGCTGAATCCACTGGTGTCCCATCTGGTGCATTCGAATCTGATGGTGTTCCATTCTGAATCTAAATCCTGCTGGATCTGCATTCTGAATTCAATAGCTGTTGCATCTGGCACCGAAATCACTGATGTTCCCATCTGATCCTGAATCTATTGCAGCTGCATCTGAATCTACTGGTGTTGCCATCTGGATCCGAATCTACTGCTTTGCATCTGAATCTACTGGTGTTCCATCTGGTGCTGAATCTACTGGTGTTCCATCTGAATCTACTGCTGTTCCATCTGGAGCTGAATCTACTGGTGTCCCATCTGGTTCTGAATCTACTGGTGTTGCATCTGACGCTGAATCTACTGGCGCTGCATCTGAATCTACTGGTGTTCCATCTGGCGCTGAATCTACAGGCGCTCCATCTGAATCCACTGGTGTTCCATCTGGCGCTGAATCCACTGGTGTTCCATCTGAATCTACATGTATTCCATCTGGTGCTGAATCTACTGGTATTCCATCTGGTTCTGAATCCACTGGTGTTCCATCTGGTTCTGAATCTACTGGCGCTCCATCTGAATCTACTGGTATCCCATCCGGTTCTGAATCCACTGGTATCCCATCTGGCTCTGAATCCACTGGTGTTCCATCTGGCGCTGAATCTACTGGTGTCCCATCCGGTTCTGAATCCACTGGTGTCCCATCTGGTGCTGAATCCACTGGTGTCCCATCTGGTGCTGAATCTACTGGTGTTCCATCTGAATCTACTGGCGCTCCATCTGAATCCACTGGTGTTCCATCTGGCGCTGAATCTACTGGTGTCCCATCCGGTTCTGAATCCACTGGTGTTCCATCTGGTGCTGAATCTACGGGCGCTCCATCTGAATCTACTGGTGTTACATCTGGTGCTGAATCTACTGGTGATCCATCTGGTGCCAAATCTACTGGAGGTTCCATCTGAATCCACTGGTGTTCCATCTGGTCGCGAATCTACTTGGTGTCCCATCCGGTTCTGAATCCACTGGTGTTCCATCTGGCGCTGAATCTACTGGCGCTCCATCTGGATCTACTGGGGTTCCATCGGACGCTGATATCTACTGGCGCTCCATCTGAATCCACTTGGAGTTCCATCTGGCGCTGAATCCACTGGTGTTCCATCTGGTGCCGAATCTACTGGTGTCCCATCTGAATCCACTGGTGTTCCATCTGGTGCTGAATCTACTGGTGTTCCATCTGAATCCACTGGTGTCCCATCTGGCACTGAATCCACTGGTGTTCCATCTGGTGCCGAATCTACTGGCGCTCCATCTGAATCTACTGGTGTTCCATCCGGTTCTGAATCCACTGGTGTCCCATCTGGCGCTGAATCCACTGGTGTTCCATCTGGTACTGAATCCACTGGTGTTCCATCTGAATCTACTGGTGTTCCATCTGGTGCCGAATCTACTGGTGTCCCATCTGAATCTACTGGTGTCCCATCTGGCGCTGAATCCACTGGTGTTCCATCTGGTGCCGAATCTACTGGCGCTCCATCTGAATCTACTGGTGTTCCATCTGGTTCTGAATCCACTGGTGTTCCATCTGGAGCTGAATCCACTGCTGTTCCATCTGATACTGAATCCACTGGTGTTCCATCTGGAGCTGAATCTACTGGCGCTCCATCTGAATCTACTGGTGTTCCATCTGAAGCTGAATCTACTGGTGTTCCATCTGGAGCTGAATCCACTGGTGCTGCATCTGGTTCTGATACTGCTCCATCCGGTACTGAATCCCACTGGTGCTCCATCTGGTACTGAATCCACTACTCCTACTGGTGGATTGTCTACTTCTTACACTACCACCACTGATTTCACCACCACTGTTATTACTACTACTGACTGTGGCCACCATGGTTGTTCTCAAACTACCATCACCACTGGTCTTACTGTGATTACTGTTACTACTTCAGAAACCGTCACCAGCTACACCACCTACTGTCCAATTCCATCCACTGAATCAAGTATTGAATCCACCGGTGTTACTTCTGAATCCTCTGGTGTCCATCTGAAGCTGAATCTACCGATGTTCCATCTGATTCCCATGGTGTTCCATCAACTTCCGAATGTACTGGTGTCCCATCAGGATCAGAATCCACTGGTGCTCCATCTGGAGCTGAATCTACTGGTGTTCCATCTGAATCAAATGTTGTCCCATCTGGTGCTGAATCTACTGGCGCTCCATCTGAATCCACTGGTGTTCCATCAGGAGCAGAATCTACTGGCGCTCCATCTGAATCTACTGGTGTCCCATCTGGCGCTGAATCTACTGGTGTTCCATCTGGTGCTGAATCTACTGGCGCTCCATCTGAATCTACTGGTGTTCCATCTGGTGCTGAATCTACTGGCGCTCCATCTGAATCTACTGGTGTCCCATCTGGCGCTGAATCTACTGGTGTTCCATCTGGTGCTGAATCTACTGGCGCTCCATCTGAATCTACTGGTGTTCCATCTGGTGCCGAATCTACTGGTGTCCCATCTGAATCCACTGGTGTTCCATCTGGTGCTGAATCTACTGGTGTTCCATCTGAATCCACTGGTGTTCCATCTGGTGCTGAATCTACTGGTGTTCCATCTGGTGCTGAATCTACTGGCGCTCCATCTGAATCTACTGGTGTTCCATCTGGTGCCGAATCTACTGGTGTTCCATCTGAATCCACTGGTGTTCCATCTGGTGCCGAATCTACTGGCGCTCCATCTGGTGCTGAATCTAACACAGGTGACAACACTACTTCGTTGTCATCTGTTGAAATTCCAGATACAACTACTTGCTACAGTACTATTCCAAGTACTGATAGTGATGAAGTAATTATTACCTCATTTACTACAGAAACTGCACACACCACTTCAACTCTTACTGTTACTTCATGTCATCACGATGGTTGTGAAACTCACACCACCAAGACTGGTGTTATTGTTGTTACAGTTACAACCACTGATGTTGAAACAGTTTATACCACTTATTGTCCATTAACTAAGGTGTACCCAGTTTATGGTGTTGCTAAGAAGGCACACTTCAACAAAAGAGATGTAACTGAAAGTGTTTCATTAGTTGTTGATACTGCTGTTACTACTACTGATGCTGGTTCAGCTGATATTAGTTCATGGCCTGCTTCTACTTTGGTTCCATCAGTTTGGCTTTCAAACGGTACTGACAGTGTTAGTACCTATGAAGGTGCTGGTAATAGTATTACTCCAAGAGTTGGAGCTGTTGCCGGTGTTATTGCTGGTTTATTATTCTTACTTTAATTGAATTAGAGTTTTCTGTTTTTTTTTTTTTCTTTCCCAAATGATTTTGTTTTATTCTTAGCTTTCTTTGGATTTCATTGACTTTGATGTATCAATGAATTTGTTATTTTCTGTTCATTATATTTTTTTTTTTTTGCTTTCGGTTAGTTGATTCTAATTTATTAGAATCCAGCTATTTTTTTGGTTACTATTGACTTTATTAAAGAATACCCATACTTGCCATTGTGCATTGATGTTTTATTATTTTTCTTGTTCTACTATTATTTTATATTTTCGGTAATTGAATCATATAGTCTTAGCTTAATAGATATTGGTTTAAGGTTTTTTTTTTATTCAAGTCTTATTATTTTTTATTCTCTTTATATTGGTATTAATGTTATTTGTAGATTTAAGATTTCAGGTACACGCTACTTCAAGTCACCAATCTACTGGCACGTGATACATATAACAGAGTCTTCGTTTGCTTTTGTTATTTTGTACACGACGAAAGTAGTGCACATTGATCAACGATAGAACAAAATTCTAAAATAAAGGGGTGCGCGGAGGGGAGGAAGAGAATAAATGGAAGGCAAATAATGATAATTAATTGACACAAGAGAAATATCTAACTCAAACAAATTAGAATTAATTAGTAATGAATATAATGTAAGTCATAAACCGAATGTTAGTGCCGTCTAATATGGAAATAAGACTAGAAGAAAACTAATGTTACGTTGGATCACATGACCAGTGGATTTATAGAATTTTAATTACATATTCTAATAAAGTATTTGTTGATTTTGTGTTAAATTATAAGTATCTTCGTTAGAAGTACAATCATTTTGGAAAGAGAAGGAGGGAGAGGTTAGAATTACATTTTCAGCATTTTAAGAAAACGGCTGTTGATGTTAATTACTTAGGTTGCATTAAGTTGAACTGAACCGCTCTTTGACTACAATATCAAGAACTGATTAAACAATTGGCAGAACTTAAAGTTGAAAAAAGAAAGGTTTTCTCTTCTATCAATTTTGTTTCCCCTATCATTTTGTACTTTATTGAAAATTTCCCCACGAATTCCGGAGCATCAATCACGTAGTTAGTAACATGGACATTGACCTTATACAAAACTGTAATGAACTAGTGATAATATATAAATGATTTCTTCAAATCAAATGATTTTTTTCTTTTTAAATAAAAGTTCCGCTTTAAAGTAATAAAGGTGACAGAACTGAATTTATACATTGGTTGCCATTTTTTAAAACTAGTAATTTTTTGGGGGGCCAGAGATCATCATCATCATCATTCTTTTTCTGTTGATTGATTATTTTTTTTTTTAAACTCCCTTAAAAATTTGAACACTAAGAATTTAAAACCAGTCAAGCAGCAAAGGAGAGAGAAAAAAAATTCAGTGCAAGCGATAGCCAGACAGCCAGACAACCAAAACTAGGACTTTACTCCCTTTTTTTTTCTAGTTGTCATTTGTTCATTTTGTTTTTTCAAATTTTATCAGATATCATAAATTGTGTTTGTTTCATAATAATACTAGAACCACATTATATATCGTTGTATTTAAATAACATATCTATCATTGATTATTATTGATAATAATTGCATTCACTACAAATTAGTTGGTTTTTGAATTTTGTTCTTCTTCCCTTTTTTCCTTTTTTATTTTTTTTTTTTTATTTATTTATTTATTTATTTATTTAATTACATTAAGTTGTTGTTTTCTTGTGGTTTGTGTTTGTGAATATTATTCATTTCCCCTTGATATTTTTGTTGATTTTACATGGTCATTTTTTTAAAGAGTTTTTCATTTATCATATCTGTATAATATCTACTAATTGTATCGTTTAAAATTGTCGATTGAATTATCTACATTTGTCAGTAATCGGTCAATTATATTTTGCAGTTTATTGTTTTTATCGTTGTTCTTCTACGTTCCCTGCATTCCGTTCATTTAATCCGGTTTATATAAGTGTGTTTTGCTTTGTTCCCCTGGGTTACTTTATAGATATTGACTGACATCAAATTTAACTCACGTCTTCCCCCTCACATTTCAATCCCTTGGTATTCTTCAAAGAAAAATAAAAAATAAATCAAATTATTAGTTCATATTTATACTATACTAGAAATAATGGAAGGATATGCATCTAATAATCAGGAGGAGTATCCCCCAGGAGGTACGCCAACTTCTAACTATGATAGCACCAATCCGTTGTCTGCTTATAGTACCAATACTAATACGACTTCACCGCAACATCAAGATTCAGTTACAAGCCCCACTACAAAAGTAGCCATCAAGCCCCATACCACCTCAAGTACCGCTAGTCATCAACATCAGCAAGAGCAAGAATTGCTTTCGGGTTATACTGTACCAAACCCACCAGTTTCAACTCAACAGTCAACAGCAATTGCTTCAGAACAGGACCCGGGTTCGAGTGGTGAATTAGATAAGCCTCGTACTTTATGGATGGGTGATTTAGATCCTTGGTTAGATGAAAATGCAATACAAGATTTATGGTGGAGCATATTACAGAAGAAAGTTACGATTAAAATCATTAAACCTAAGAATCCTAAAACTGACCCAACTTTCCATGGATTAACCAATTCAGGATATTGCTTTGTTGAATTTGAAAGTTTTGAGGATGCACAACAAGCTTTAAGTTTAAATGGTCAATTATTACCTGACATTGCCATGCCTTCTCAACAACATTTTCCCAACAATCCTGACAATCAAAAGAAATACTTTCGATTGAACTGGGCTAGTGGTGCTACTCTCTCAGCTCCAATTGTACAGACCCCCGAATTTTCATTGTTTGTAGGTGATTTATCTGCATCAACAACTGAAGCTCATTTGTTGGCTTTTTTTCAAAAGACTTTCCCAAATTCAATTAAAACTGTTCGAGTAATGACCGATCCAATATCTGGAAAATCAAGATGTTTTGGATTTGTGAGATTCACAGAAGAACTGGAAAGACAAAGAGCTCTAGTCGAAATGAATGGTGTATGGTTTGCTGGGAGACCCTTGAGAGTTGCATTGGCGACCCCTAGGATCACCGGAAGAAGATACCAACAACAACAGCAACAGCTGCAGCAACCACAAATTTCGCTTTCGCATCATCAACAGCAACAACAGCAACAACAACAATCTGCACCTCCATTTTTTGGTCATCATCCTTCTTCAATGGGTGGAAATGATTATTTTAATCCTGATCCAAACTCTGCTCCACAACCACAGTTAGATCCCAGAAGAGCAGGCCCACCGGAAATGATGTATATGGCACCACCACTTCCTGGTGCTGTTGGCCCTAATGGAGGCAGTCCAATGTATGGATACTATGGACAAGGAGGTCAAGATTTTGAAGGATTGAATATGGATATGACAGGATCACCTAATCCAATATTTCAAATACGTCAGCAACAACAACAGCAGCATCAGCAACAACAACAACAACAGCAATTTGCTGATCCGAATAATACCACGGTATTTGTTGGTGGATTATCATCTGAAGTTAATGAACCTACTTTGTATACGTTATTTAAACCATTTGGGATGATCCAACAAGTTAAAATCCCACCAGGGAAAAATTGTGGTTTTGTGAAGTATTCAACTAGAGATGAAGCTGAAGAAGCGATTGCAGCAATGCAAGGCTTTATTATTGGTGGTAATAGAGTAAGATTAAGTTGGGGTAGGGTATCGATGAATAATAAGAAATATCAACAACAGCAACACCAAGTAGCCCAAGCAGCACAATTGCAAGTTGCTGCCGCATTGTCAATGGGAATGGATCCAGCTACTGCTATAGCTGCAGCTGCTGCCGCTGCTGCTGGTGGATACCCTCCTAATATGGCTGCACCTCCGCCTCCACCTGGAGCTCCCCCACATTCCGCTCAAGGGCATCATCAATTGGGACCTGGAATTCCTGGAGGAGTGCCCCATCCGGCAGGAATGCCACCACAAGGAGGTGCTGGTGGATCAGGTGGATCAATGAACATGCCGCCCCCTGTGCCCATGCCAGGAATGGGATTACCGATGATGACTCAATATCAAGGGCTTCCTCATCATAGCCACCATTATTCATCTGATGATGGGAGTGGATCTGCCGATACTTCTGGTAATGGCTATGACAATAATTATAACAATGATGGATTTAATAGAAATATGGCATCTGGCGCGCTTCTATCTGAATTTGGTGGAATGCAAGGGTCTGGTGAACAATATACTGGAGATTTGACTAATGCCATGGCTCATATGAGTTTAGAAAGTGGAGAAGGAGGTAGCATGGGATATGGATACATGATACCTCCAGCATATGGAGGATATGGTATTGCTGACATGTCTCAATATCAACAATTAGTACCGGAAGAGAATGAACAAGAAGGAGAAGACGAGGACGAGGAAGATGAAGAAGACGAACGAGAAGAAGGGGAGGAGCAAGAGCAGGAGGTGAACAATGACGAAGGACAAAACAAGGAAGAAAATACTGAAAATTATGTAACTGAGAAAGTAGAAGATAAAAGTGGAAAGGATAAAGAAAAAACATATCTGGATGAAGAAGAAAAGTAGAATTTTCATTGGTTGTGTATTGTGATTAGTACGTTAATGGTTGAAATGAGTTTTTTTATTATTATAATCAGTGTATGCATGCTATTACCGTTGTTTTAACTTGATTATATTAGTGATTCATTTATTGTTTCCTCCTCGTCGTCTATCGTTTGGAACTTATATTTATTGACTTTTCCTTTAAATTTTGTAATTAATGTTGTTATTTATTGGTTGTTTAATGGGGTTTTTTTTTTGTCTACTGTTACTTAGTAATTTTGATGTTCATTTTAAGAATACTTATATATTTGTTTTTGATACCAAGTTTAGCTTGTCTTTTTTCTTTTTTTGATTTTGTAATTTTATTCTACAATGTATAGTAATGAAATTTTGTGTGCGTGATTTTTGTTAGACGATTGGTAAGACAATCAGGTAGTAATAAAACTTTTAGAAATGACCAAAGAGCCAATATTCAGACTTATGAATTTCATTTATATAAAAATACTAAATAAGTATATAAAACTAAGAACAATCCCAAAATGGATTCAAATAAGGTACGACTGACCCTTAAAATAAAAATAGAAGATAAAAAGTAACGTTACGACAAAAATTTAAATACATATATAGAAATAAAAAAAAGAATAGAATAATAAAACCATCAACCACTTCTTCAATAATTCAACCCAAATAACCATAGTTTAAAAAGAATAATCAAAAGAACAAAAGTATTAATCTAAGATCTTTCACCTCTCAATCTTCTAGCTAATTGCATATCTTTCTTTTGGATGGTAACTCTCTTGGCGTGGATAGCACACAAGTTAGTATCTTCAAATAAACCAACCAAGTAAGCTTCAACAGCTTCTTGTAAAGCACCAATAGCAGAAGATTGGAATCTTAAATCAGATTTAAAATCTTGAGCAATTTCTCTAACTAATCTTTGAAATGGTAATTTTCTAATTAATAATTCAGTAGATTTTTGGAATCTTCTAATTTCTCTCAAGGCAACAGTACCTGGCTTATATCTATGTGGTTTTTTAACACCACCACTTACTGGGGCGGATTTTCTAGCTGCTTTTGAAGCTAATTGTTTTCTTGGTGCTTTACCACCAGTGGATTTTCTTGCAGTTTGTTTAGTTCTAGCCATTATTTAATAATTGTTGATAATAAGAACCAAAAAATAAATTATATAAAAAAAAGAGAGTAAAGAAGTGATATATAAATATGGATTTTTTTTTTGTGTTGAACGATTCTCTTTTTTTGTAATACAAAAGATTAAAGGAGAGGAAATGTAATTTGTTTTGAAGATTTTTTGTTTATATGGTGAGTGATTATTTTTTTTTGTTTTGTTTTACTGCATGACGTTGGTTGTAAAAAAATTTTCTCTCTCTGTTTTTCCTTTTCCATTTTTGCCATCCCCTATTTTTTTAATTAACTAAAAAGAGATTGATGGTTATTTGTTCCATAGTTAAGAATGATTAAAATGTGCACTAGAAAAATTGTTCAAATTTAATGCGAACATTTTAAATGAGACAGATTGTGCCAACAACCATAACAAGAGAGAGAGAAAAAAAGTAAATGAAAGTGCGCACTACTTTTGTTTCCAGCCCCCCACCCCATTTGGAACGGCGTGTGCATATGCACAGAAAAAAAAAATGTTTGACTGTCCACAGTATCAAGAATCTAATTATTCTCTTTTTTTTTTACAACCAATTAGCAGCTAATAATCCAATGATGTGTATAGCTACAATCAGTTGATGTGGTGTTTTGTATTATGTTTGGGTATTGGGGTGGTCACCCCCAATCCATCTTATGTGAGAAATCCCACCATTATTATTAATTTGAAAAATCTACCAATGTGAAAGAGAAACATTGCAGCCAAAAAGAGGGAGTTGCCGTTCTGAAGATAAATCAACTGTTCAATGTCAAGTTCTCATTTATCACTTATCCCCTGTACTCATAGTATGAAAAGCCCTCTGAATTACTAGTACAATATATTTGTAATAGATTGGAGCCCCTCCTCTAGATCGTGTTACTTAATCCATTGTTTGATAATTCCTTGCTCTCCATGATTAATTTCCCCAACTTTTTATTTTTATATTATTATTATTCATTATCATACATAGTCATACATTCAATTGATCCCCCTTGTTTTCAAAGTTTCAGTTTATTTATATTACTTGAATATCTCTGGTTAATTTTTCATTATTTTATTTTGTTTTGTTTTTTTTATTTGTTTGTTTGTCAGTTGTCTTTGATTACAAAAACTACTACTAACAGCAATGCAATCTACAAGTAGTGATAAACCAAGAGCAGTTGGAATTACTCCTAAACATAATCTAGTTGATTTAGATCATATAATTGAAACTCAAAATGTTTCATTTCCAAGTGTAATTAATTTACCTAATGATATTCATGATTCAAATCCAATCGAAGTTTATAAATCTTATATTCATTTAAGATTACAAGAATATATTAGTGATTTAACTTCAAGATTAATGACTGTTTACACTGATGATAGTGAAACTACATTTATTCAACAAAATAAATTTGTTAATTGGTTAGCTGATCAATCAATTCATTTCAAAGATATTGATTCTTGGATACCAGAAGATTTATATCGTTCAATAATAACTAAAAGTCATGATGGTAAATTAGTATTTCCAAATAACAAAATTAAAAAACAAATTATGGAATATGTTGATAATTCTTATGATATAAAATATGTTAAATATTGGGCTGATTTCATGGAAAATTATGAAATTGAAAATACAAATATAAATGATAAACATTATATTCAAAGTTTCAGAAATAGATTGGAAAAAAAATTTGAAAAAAAATTAAATACTGATAAATTTTCAATTTATGTTTATACTTTAGCTTTGAATCTTTGGATTGATGAATTTAAACGTAATTGTCTTTAAATGAATCATACCGTGTATAGTTGATTAATTTATGTTTTAATGATTATGTTTTCTGTTTTTTTGGAATTTATTTGTATTAAAAAAATAAAATAAAATGAATGGCTTTCTCTTATGTTAAAGAAAAAAATATAAAAAAAAACCTATATATAAATAAAATCAAAATAAACAAATATGTGGTATCAATCCACTTGTTATTCCTTGATTATCCTTTTTCTTCTTCTTTTTTTCTATTATACACCGTTGATTTGGAAGAATCACCTAACTTCTGTACCATAATCTAGTGATTCTAGTTTTCATCATCTTCTTTTGTAATTGGAAAACACCATACATCAAAGCTTCAGCAGTTGGAGGACAACCTGGAACATATATATCAACAGGAACAACCCTATCACAACCTCTAACAACAGAATAAGAATAATGGTAATAACCACCACCATTAGCACATGAGCCCATAGAAATAACCCATTTTGGATCTGGCATTTGATCATAAACTTGTCTTAAAGCTGGTGCCATTTTATTAGTTAAAGTACCAGCAACAATCATAATATCTGATTGACGAGGTGAAGCTCTGAAAATAATACCCAATCTATCTTGATCATATCTTGGAGCAGAGACATGCATCATCTCAACTGCACAACAAGCTAAACCAAAAGTAACTGGCCAAAATGAAGATTTTCTAGCCCAATTAGCAATAGCATCTAATGAAGTTAAAACATAATCAGCAGCATTAGTTGCCTTCTTTTCTGACATTAATGGGAAATCAGTTGGTAATGTTTGAGGAGTTAATTCTTTAGTAGAAACATAACGAACTGGTAGGTATGATGCAGATGGTATGATTGTAGTTGAAGCTCTCTTACTAACTTGTTGGAGCAATGATCTTCTAGATAATGAATACATTATGTTTATGAATATATATGTGATTGATTAAAAGTAATATAAAACAAAAAAAAGTGAAAGAAAAAATTTCTGATTGAATATGAATAAATAATGTACAAATAATTAATCAAAATAAAAATAAAAATTTATAACTTTTTGTATGATAATGTTAAATGATGTAAAGTTCTATACTAATCCTCGAATAATAATGAACTATTGATTTGTTTCTTTTTCTTCAATAGGTCAAACAAAAAGATGATTATGTATTCAAGGTCTTTCCTTTTTTTTTTTGCTTTCGTTTGGTTTGGTTTGGTTAATGTCTTTTTTTTTTTTCTTCTTCCCCCAAAAATTGTTTTGTTCTTTCTCCTAAGCATAAAAAAATTGATAGTGATTGGCTCAAATTTGTTAATGTCGTGTACCTGCAGATAAAGGTCACGTGTGCGACAATGTCGTTTGTAAGTATCTACACGACATCTTAAATATTAGCAATCTGTCAATACTTCTCTTTTTAAATTATTTATTAATCTTTTTATATATATATATACTATGCAATTATTTAATCGAAAAAAAATACCATTAATTTATCATTATAATCATTTGTGGATTGTTCTTTTTTAGGGATTTATTGTAGCGTATCGTCCAAATAATTTACAATTTTCTCTAAAATTTCTTGTTTAACTTCATTAGGTACCAAATTTTCAGCTTTTGGTTTGATAAAAGTAAATAATTGATCAAATGTTAAATCTTTATTATGCTTGTCGTGTTGTTCATTTAATTCAGTACTTGCAATTTGAGCTATTTTATCATACCATCCATTTTCATATAATTTTAGTTTTAATTGTTGATTTATTATATCGTAATTACCCGAACTTATTAAATGATCTTGTATTTTGGATTTAATTTGATCTAATTCATCTTGCTGGCTATTACTCATTATTTCGAAACGGATACGTGATGTTATTAAAAGTGAAGGTATATCGTTGATATCGTGACGTCGTAGTTGTTGCTGTTGTTGATAGTTTGCAATTTTTTTCTTTCACTCTGTTCGCTATTGAGATTATCAGTTACGACATTTTGGTTGTGTACAGACAGAACCGGTTACTATATGCAGTCTATTGAAAATAGTGAGCATGGCCGATGCCAGAGAAAAATTTTATTTGAGGAAGTAGATAGGATCATATAGTTAGGTTTATAAAAATTAAGCTAAATAAGAGATCTTTATATTGTGGGATATAAAGCATACGCTTCACTAATTTTAAGGAGAAATTAGTATAATCGGTCCGTGTCATTGTTGTATATCGTATTGTGTCCTTACTCACTACACCGTCTATTTTATTTTATTATCGCTTTTCCGACTTCATACCTTTATCGCAGGCAGTACAGCGAACACACTCTCTTTCCCCCGATTCATGAAATATAGTGAATTTTCTTGTTCATTCAGAGAGAGAGAAAAAAAAAATAATAATATTTGTTACAATATTGTGGTCTTTTGTAACATTTAATGATAAGACAAATTTTAAAGAAATCAGTACGAACAATGACATCCTCATCAACAGTTAAGAATTCTCCATATTTAGCTAAAATAACATCAATTGAACCATTGAAAGAAGGTAAATGGATTCAAACTAGAAAAATTAATTATGATGATCCTAATGGGAATGCAAAAGTTTGGGAAATGGCAATTCGTACAACTCGTACTTCAACAACTAATCTTGATGCAGTTTCTATAGTTTCAGTGTTACATAATAGTCATGATTCAAAAGAAATTGTTCTCGTTAAGCAATTTCGTCCACCCACTGAGAAAGTTATTATTGAATTACCAGCAGGTTTAATTGATCCGAATGAAACTGTTGAATCTACTGCTGTTAGAGAATTACTTGAAGAAACAGGATATGTAGGAACATTTAAATCACAATCAATCCCATTGTTTAGTGATCCTGGTTTAACTAATGCTAATATGGTATTAGCTTATGTTGATGTTGATTTAAATGATCCAAGAAATAAAAATCCTCAACCACAATTAGAACCTGGTGAATTTATAATTACATTTACTTTACCATTGAATAATTTGTTAGAATCATTAGAGAAAATGTGTAAAGATGAAGGATGTTCCATAGATGCAAGGTTATATCATTTCGCTAAAGGTTTAGAATTAGCTAAAAACTTGTAGATCAATTTAGTACGAATATATATATACAAGCACAATTGATTGCTTTTCATGTCCCCGCTAAAATACCCCCGAAAAATCACGTGTCAACTTTCCCGTCTCTTTTGAACCCCAACAATTCACTTTGGGGACAACAACAAAAAAAAAAAAATAAAATAAAAACCAGTATCGACTATAATTAAAACCATTACGACTCCTTTTTTCGTGTATCTTATCTGATATAGTTATTATAAGTCATGTCGGATACGGATGATCATTCGGAAACTTGTTGTTTTTGTTTAGGTAGTGATGTTGATATCCCACCATTTGGTACAATTTCAGATGCAAAAGATTTAATATCTCCTTGTTCTACTTGTTCAATAGTAAGTCATAGAAAATGTTTATTAGACTGGTTTAATTCAGTACCTTCTGATAAATTACAAATAATTTATGCTCATAGAAAATCATCATCCACAACTACTTCAATATCAAGATCTAATACAAGAGGAAGAGGAAATAATGATAATGGGAATAATGATCATGATGAATTGGGTGTTGGAGCACCTCCAATAAATCAAGAAACTAATATCAATATCAATTTCTCAACCAGAGCATTAAGTCAATTTTTAGCAAGTGTTACAAATAGTGCTGTAGTTGCTGATCAATTAGATTCTGAGATTAATCATAATATTAATGCAAATTCTATTCCAGGAAGATATCCTGAATCCGATTCAGGATCAACTTCAAATTCATACCAATCAAGTTCATATATTGCTTATATTCTTGTACCTTGTCCACAATGTAAGCAAGATATTGTGTTTTCAATGAATAGATCATCATTATTAGCATTACAATCATCTACTAAATCATTAATTACTACATGTGTTCAATATGGTGGAGTGTTCCTTGGTATTACATCAGCAATGACGGGAATTTTATCTATGGGGTTATATCGGGTTTAACTACTTGTGGTATTAAAATGATGGATTGTATTGTTCCATCATCTATTTTAATTAGAATATTAACCAAGAAATCATCATTACACACTCATTCCAGTTACCAAATGCTAAGTAAGATTCTATTTGGTGAATTCTGGAAATTGGTTCATCTTATCCAGTTGAATAATTTGGAACAACGGTTTAATACAGGATTGTTTGACCCTTTTAAATTCGTGAGAAATTCCTGTAATGCCTAATGTGAATGTATCGTGCTAGAACATCAAGTATTTTTCCAATGATTTTTCGATAAAGAAAGATTGAATTCATGGATTACAGAAGGTATGATTTTAAGTTATATATCTTCAATGAGTGATCATAAGTTGATTAGAATTTTAATAAAGAATTTCTCAGAAAGTGTTAAACATATTATTCAAAATCCTTGGAATTTATCGAATTTGAATATTTTTAAAGGTATTGATTGGACAAATTCAAGAAATATTATATCACTTTTAATTCCTATTCGTTGGATATATGATTTATTCTATCGATTGACATTTAATAGAAAATATTTTAATCTAACAATGAGAATTAGACCAAGAGCAATTGCTAATAGTTTATCAAGTGAAGAAGTTGATGAATTGGAAGATTTAAATAATCAAGTACATGAATTAGCTAAGAGACACATCAAGATATACAGAACATTATCAAAGAAAATAGATAACGATAAAAAATTCAAAATTCCATTCCTTACAACAGTTTATAAAAATGTATTATATTTTATGAAGATCAAATCATCAAGTTTTAGTTATTTAAAATTAAAGTTATTGATTAATTTGAAGTACACCCTTGCATGTCTTAAACATGATTATTCCCATACATTTTCTCACAAGAGTATAATTGTTAAAAGTCTAACTACAATGTTATGGCCATTTCTAAGTTCAAGATTAAATTCAACCATAATTCTTCCATTATTATCTTCGTTTACTTGGTTGAAATTTAATGAACTTTCATTGGATAAGAAAATTTTAATTGGAAATATAGTTGGTTTAGTCGGTGTTAGTATAATTAAAGAATTAATAAACTTGTATCTTGTTAAATTAAAAGTTAAACAAATGGCAAATATTCAAGCATTAAATTTACAAGATGCACAAACTATAAAAGAAGTTTCTTCAACTATTTTAGAATCTACTTTCACTAATGATTCAGCCATTGGAAATTCTGGTAGTACTATTGTTGTTGATTTAGATAATGACGATATTGCATCTGATGATGAAATAATTATAAATGGTAATGACAATAATGAAGATGATGATGATGATGCGGGTGCTGTTGAGTTTGGTCAGGTTGATAGGAATATTGCTAGATTAGCCGCTCAATTGGGTTTAAGTGCACTTGGTGATGATTCTTTATTCAATGATGATTTTCCAGGCAACTTTCCTGGATAATTGAAGATTTCAAAACAATTGTTATATTTTTTGGGTTTTATAGTTTTAAAATAAGAAAAGAAAACAAATTTGATAATATACATAGTTTATACAAACAACTAAAAAAAATATAAGGTACATAAAAATAATTATAAAAATAAAAAAAACCCACTTAAGGTTTCGCTAAAGGAGAAACAAACAAATAAAAACATTTCAAATAATTGTTACAAACGATTAAAAGGTTTAATCTCTTTAAATAATGGTAATAAAAAAAAAGTTCAAGATACTAAAAAATTGTTATATTTTCCACTTCTATTCATCGTCATAATTTTCATCTTCATCAACTTTTCTCATTGGTGGTTCAGGATTTTCATCCTTTTTCGGTTCATCGTCTTCCATGGCTTCATCTTCATCTTTAGTTTCTTTAACTTGGGAAGTTGAAGTTTCTTCAGCTGGCTTTGGCACTTCTTCTGTGGTGACAGCAGAAGTAGGAGCAGCTTCAATCTTTTCAGCATCTTCCATTTCAACATCTTTGGATTCTTCTTTTGAATCTGTTGGTTTGTCTTCTTTCTTTTCTTGCTCTTTTTCCTCTTCTTTACCAGTAACATTAGAAGAAAATTGTGGAGCTTCACTGGTAGCAGTAACAGGTGCTGAAGGAGTAGCAGAAGATTCACGTTGTTTTTCTTGCTCTTTGACTTCTTCTTCTTCTCTAACGGATCCATTAACTTCAATAGCTTCTTTAACTGGTTCCTTTTCCTTTTCGGCTACAACTTCAGGTTGTTTACTTTGCTCGGAATCACCATTTGTTTCAGTTTCAACATTAGCTTTCTTAACAACCTTTTCATCATCATTCTTGTCCTCTAAATCATGCTTACCATTAGTTTCAGTTTGAGCAGGTTCAACAGGTTCCTTTTCGACGACCGGAACTTGAGCTGGTGCTGGTGCTGGAGTTGGCGCTTGTGCAGCTTCAGCATTAACTGGTGTAGCTTCTTTACTTGGTGCCATCTCAGTGTCTTTATCAGCTGGTACAGCATCTTCTTGTTGTTTTGATGGCTCAGGTTCAGCTGGTTTTGCTTCTTCAGTCTTGATTGGTTCTTGTGGAGTAGCAACTGGTTTTGGTTCAGGTTCAGTTGGTTGAACAATTGGAGCTGCGACCGGTTCTACAGGAGCTTGTGGTTTTGGTTCAACTGGCGCTTCAACCTTTGGTTCAACTTTTGCGGTTTCTTGGACTGGTTGTGGTGGTTGAACAACTGGTGATGCTGACGGTTGAGAAATTATTTGTGGTATGCTCTGTTGTTGAACAACTGGTGATTGATTGGCTGGTGGTGCTTGAATAATTTGTGGCTGTTGAGGTTGTTGAACTGGAGATTGGTGAACCAGAGGTGGTTGCTGAATAGCAGGTTGAGCAGCAGCTTGTGGTTGGACTTGAGATGGTGGAGGTAAAGAACTGATTTGTGGAGGAGATTGTTGATGAATCTGAGCAGGTTGTTGTGTTTGCGGTGGTTGAATTTGAGGTTGTTGATGTTGCTGTTGTTGTTGAGGTGGAGGTGGTGGCAAGTGTTGAGCTGGTTGAATAGGATTCATCAATTGAGGGGCTGGTCTTTGTTGATGTTGTGATTGTTGAGCTTGTGGTGGTTGTTGCCGAACAGTAGGTTCAATGGCTGTTAGTGTACTGTTAATGGTATTACTT